GACCATCTGATGTGTTTCTTGATGCATCTGTTCAAGGAGGAAACATAATTTTAGTTTGCATGTTTGAAGTCTTCATGAGTCATCAGCCCTAGCAATTTGTCACAGGGGCTTGTGTAGAGGGGGCAAAGTCCATGTAGTGGTTGGACACCAAGGAACGCTAAGCACCCAGGTAGTTGAGATTTGTTGATAAAACGAACCTGATGCAAAAGGTGGTGGAAATAAGAGAGCACTGGAGCCAGTGTCAGATTGGTGTCTGTTCCTAACTCTGCCAGTGATTTCCTGGATGAGTTTTAATTGTCGTGTCACCATATATGTCTCCCTGTGTCCATCTACAGGAGAGAAGCCTTGTAAAGTTGATAATTTTTGGATGTATTTATTAATATTTTGATGTGCTCACATTTTCAGAGCACACTCTAGAGAACTCTTCAACATTGTTTGGTGCATCCATTTGGTGCAGAGTAAACTACCAATGTGCCATCACTGGAAATCAAAACCCAGTGCTCGCTAGAGAAGAGCTTCAGTGCAGGCAGTTGCTGTTTAGGCTTTCCCTGTGCTGTTTCTTTCAAGACTAAAACCATCTTGAAAGAGGCCCTCACCATATAAACAGTGTATTTCATTTTTCATGACCCACTCAGCCATGAATATCTGGCATTTCTACACGATTTCTGAAACACTAGTGTTAGGAACTTCTTTGTAGAAAGTTTTGCAACAAAGGGGCGGTCTGTAATTCTTAATTATATCTATTATGACAGTCTTCGTATTGCAAATGCTTGTCCCTCTGACATGGAATACGCTAAAGGTCTCTGCTCTCTATGGAACAGCTTGCCTAGTGGTCAGGTCTCACAGGATTCACAAAAAGCCTTTTAGGATCAGCTGAGCTGTGCACACAGTACTTTGTTTCATTTTGTTTTCATTTTGATTGATTCAGATGGTCCAAATATTTGTAGTACTCCATTAAGTCCTATTTGGGATGAAGTCATAAGTTCCACTTTCCACCAAGGCATGGAGCCTGTCCAAATTAGTGGCTAAGCCTATATAATACCTTGGCTATATTGCAGGCTTGTATAGTGTCAAGGTCCTGTTTTCACAGCAGTTATATAGTTGTTACTCCAGTGAAGAATGATATGGCCCCTTATAAAGTCCACAAGCTGACGTCTGTTTTTTAATGCAATATTTACACTATTCAAGGAGCTAAAAGAAGGCTTTTCTTTAATAGATTCCATCAGCTAATGTTTTCCTTTATACAGATGGGTTATTGTTTCCAGCATCTGATACCTATGCAACTTTGTGTATTAGGGCCTCATTTTTTTTTGTTATCTTTTTTTTTTTCTTTTTCTCCCTGTCTCATGGAGCAAAGAAAAGGGTTTGCCGTGCAGTTTTCTCTGAGGTTTTATCTGGGGGACAAACCCTGAAAATGTTAAAACCAAAACAAACAAAACCCCTCAGCACTCTGTTGTTTCCCCTGCCCACACACATCCCACATTCTGAATTGCTTTCCATTTTCAGCTTAACTTCCCGTCTCTGAGAGGAAACACGGTACAGCAATTTCTTACCATGGGTAGAAATCATGTAATTTGGACAAGGAAATGTGTTTTTTTTCCAATGGCTCCTGTGCTGCAGGTGTGAACTTGTCTGTCATGAAAATGTTGCCCAGGTGGTTGTGGTAAATAACACTGTGCCACTTAATGATTTCATGGGGATAGATAAAAATCTATATGTTCATCCTGAGTATAAGCAGCTTTCTGGAGCTTCATAATGGAAGTAGAGTGCCAGGTTTTAAGTACATAATCACATTTATTCTAGTGAAGTAAAACGCACATTGACAACCATAAAATTCTGGTCTGAAATGAGTGTGGAGGACCGCTGAAAGTAGGCAGACTTTTCAGCGTAATATGCTTCTGGGCTTAAACAACTTCAGAAAGTGGAGATTGCATAGTACAGTATCTACTAAAACTTTTTTAAACTCAGCAGTGTACAGCTTCAGTCTAGGCTTTAGTTCATTAAAAAAGCTTATACTTGCTGTGTTCCACTGAAACCAATTTTCTACTAATTCTAATTAAAACTAAAACATAAGACTTACAGACTCAGAGTTCAAACCGATTTGTAGCGGAGAGGGAATGGACACGGCAATGGATTTAAACTAGAGCAGGGGTAGATTTGGATTGGATATAAGGAAGAAGTTCTTTACTATGAGTGTGGTGAAACGCTGGAACAGGTTGCCCAGCGAGGGGGTGGAGGCCCCATCCCTGGAGACATTCAAGGTCAGGCTTGATAGGGCTCTGAGCAACCTGATCTAGTTAAAGCTGTCCCTGCTCACTGCAGGGGGGTCGGACTAGATGACTTTTAATGGTCCCTTCCAACCCAACGCATTCTACGATTCTATGAATCAGAGTCTTCTTATACCTGGTTCTGACTGTGAAATTTATGATGATTCAAGTTCAGGTATGAAATTATTCAGAATTCTGATATTTTTAGTGTATCTATCCTGATGCTCTTTAGCCTGCATGTCCAAACTAGACATCTAGAAAGGTTCATTACTGCATCACAGCATTTATACTTTTTTTTCCTCTCCTCCTAAAGAATTTTAAGGAGAAAAAGTATTGTAGCTTATTTTGGGATGTAAATGATGGACCCAGCTAGTCCTTAATTTACATGTATTTGTGTCTTTACTTGGAGCTCAGAATGGAGGCAGGAGAAGTATAGGGAACAGATGTATTGCCTGTTCTGACAGTGTTCTTATCACCTGTACGCCACAAACAATTATAGCTGTCACTTGGACTTTTCTAATTCGATGCAGAGAAAAATTTCAGAAAGGCATATGAGCATACCTTGTACTTTGGATTGATGTCTCGACCTGATTCCTTGCAGAACGACCTTACCGCTACCTCTGCATTAGCTCCCCATCTCTATTGTTCTCTTTGGAGATGATAAGATTATCTTCTAAAAATAATGCTCTGTTTACCTATTGTATCTTTTCATTATTTTTCCATCAACAAGGTCATATTTTGACTTTTGTACAGGAGCTTAAGGTCTGCCAGGTGTGAAACCATAGTCAGGATTATGATTGCCACTACATATTCTACACAGAAAAGGAGCAGCTAAAGGCAGTCTACTTATAACGTCTGGTGTGGCAATTTTAACTGGCTGTTGGTCGGGAGTTGCATATTTCTGTATTGTCCCACTTGACATGGATTTGGACCCATTGATTATGTCCAGGAGAGGGAAATAAGGAAAAGCAGCACAACTTCTCACTGAATTTGAGAAAGGTCACCTTGTTGTTAATGCCACCATTTGTTATCGTGAGGTGGTGGGTGCACAGCAAATGTGGAGGTAGTTGGTATCTCTTGACACTCTGCCTGCCTCCTGTACTCTTCATATAACAGCAGTCTACTATGTGATGCTTTGTGTAGATCTGCTCCTCTTAATTCTTCATTTGGATGCACAGACTGAACAAGGAGTTATGATCTGTCTAGGGGATACTATACTGTCGTCCTTTGCTAGAATGGGACAAAGCTGTTTTATCAGTGTTGTGAATGGAGATACTCCTTTAGTTTACATGTTGAAAGACCAGTGGAAAGAGGAGAGTATCAGTCATTATTTTGTTTTTAATTCTAAATATGCAGATTTTGATTTCTGCAGGATTGTTGCCGTGTGTTGGTATGGAGCTTGGCAAGAACTTGTGAGGTAGCAAGGTGTTTGCTGGATGTGGCTTGGCAGGTAGCATGTAGAGTTATTTCTCGTCTCTTAACCAAACAGTTCTGAAATAGGTGAGATACTCTAATAGACCTACATGTTTAATATTGTTCTGTATATCTTCCAGAGTAACTTTTGTGGTACATGTAAGCATTCACACACAAACAACATTGATGAGATCCACACAGTCTTCATACAACTTTAGATATCCTTAGGATGAGTCAAGTCGTTCAGTCTCTTATAATATGAGTTATTTGTAGTTTATAATGGGGCATTAGGGTCCTAGAAACCAATTCTCATTTTGACGGTGATTGTTACACCTACCTAGAAATAAATAGACCCATTAGAATGAAATCTCTTCCTCTGAGCAACCAAGGAACAAGAAAGAATTGATTCCTGAGTAGGGGGATAGGTCTTGTTGCAGAATTTGAGCTAGGTTGAGCTTAGTCTAGTGATGATTTCAGGTAGATTATTTAGGATGTAGGGATAGAAGAAATAAACTGTTCCTACAGTAATTGAGGGAATGCTGTTCTGTTCCTTCAGATCTTTTGAGGTTGTGCTTGTCTTTTTAGAATTGGAAGGGAGCTACAATGATTGTCTGGTCCGACTGCCTGGCAACTTTAGGGCTGACCAAAAGCTAAAGACTGTTCAAGGACATTGTCCAAATGCCTCTTAAACACTGACAGGCTCGGGGCATCGACCACCTCTCTAGGAAGTCTGCCACTGTTTGACCTCCCTCTTGGTAAAGAAATGCTTCCTAATATCCAATGTAAACCTCCTTGTGGTTTATCGCATCAAAATGAGGCAGTCACTTGGCTTCTTTTCAGCTTCCTTGAGTCATTTTTTTTTTTTCTTCTGCATAGCAGATGTTAAACTCCTCTGTTGGTGAATCCTACCATTGCTCTAGCAATAGAGAGGCAAAATAATTTATAAGATCTGTCTATATAAAGCTACAAAATGTAAACCTGTTCTCTGTAAATGGGCTATTGTTCTATGAGTATGTTTAAGGGACTGGAGTTTACTGCTTAGATGCCAGATAACTGTGTTTCCATCAAACTTTACTATTCTGTGTTTAATGACCTTAGCTAAAAGGGGATTCTTTTTATCTGACACACCATGGTGACAGTGGTAACATGATACTTTCAAAAATATGTGTAATAAATGCCACACATCTATGTGCATTATAGTAGATCACGAGGGAGATACCCCAATAAAGAGCAGCACAGTGAAGAATCCCAGGTGCTTCTACAGTGGCATTTCATCCTGTCAAGTCTCCTTGTGTAACCTTGTTTAACTTTCTGTTTCAGGAACAAGAAGATCCTAATAAGCTTGCTACCAGCTGGCCAGATTACTACATTGACCGCATCAATTCCATGGCAGCAGTAAGTTACCTTTCCTACAGAGGAAGATTTCCTACCATAGAGACATGTTTCTTTAGGAATAAGTCCTCAAAGGAGAAGAATGTTAAAAGTAATTTAAAATGGGACTTCTGAATGAAGATGAGTATGTGTATTAAGAGCCCTGCTCTAGCAGAAGAATAAATTAGAAAAAATCATTAACATTTCCAGATTTTATTTCTACAATACTGAGCACTAAAGGTAATCTGGAAAGAAAGTGCAAGAAAATATTTGATGAATCAGAAAAGCAACCATTTGAAAACTAGTTAAAGATTTGTTTTATTGTGTGGTTTCAAATTGATTTGTAACTAATCTAAAAAATAACACAGGGGTCATTAGTTTAGTAGAAGAAGTAAAGAAAAGGTAGTTATTTATTTAAGATAAAGTCTACTTACAAAAGAGCAAGATAAAGGAACATAAGACTGTAACACCTTAGACATCAGATACAAACCAGCAAGATACTGGAGGAAAACTTTTTTTTAGTTGTCCTTGTTCAATAGCCATATAATGTTTCTTCCTCTGAAGCATCTAGTAGAGCTGGTTACCAGCAGAAGCAGAACACTTGCATATAGTGTCCACTGATCTTCCTTGATATGGTGGATCTTACATTTTGAAATGTGATCCTTTTACTTATCTTATAGTCAAATTTTGCCTTCAGTTATTTCTGTAAAATATCTACTCAGCTTTTTGTGGCAGTTTTACAGAAGTGATGAAAGAATTCCATTTCTAGCATCTTAGGTAGCACACCTTGTTTGTTTCCTTATGCTTCTCTGATTTCTGAAGGCTGCTCTGCACCTATTGTATCATAGTTATGAGCTATAAAGTAATTTCCTAAAATTAATGCCTTAATGGATGCTAAATGTGTTAATACTGATGCATTTCTCATGGTGAAATATGTCTTGCTTCATAAAAAATATCAAGATCTACAAGTTATCATAACTCATTCTAAGAGGATAGAAGAAAATCTACTTTCTACTGTGAGTCATGAATAAGCATAATGATCGCTTTCCTTTATGCCAGATTTTCTTGGGGCAGAATAACAGAACAGAAAGAATACAAACTTCTTTTGAGAAAAGAGATTGAGCTCTTGTGACTGGCATGGCACTATGCTTTGATTTCCTGACTGAACAAATTTGCTCAATGAGAGCCAGTAAGGAAAAAATATGAAACCTTGCAATATCACTGAGCCAAATACTTCTGGTAGGATTTGATCCAAGGCCTCTTCAACCTACTGAAAGTTTTTCCATTTATTTCAGTGACTTTTGGATTAGTCTTTAAATGATCTTGGTGTAAACCTGGAGGGGATATGAACATGCCACTATTGTAAATCTAGAGCAGTTCCATGGAATGAGACTATATTTTGACCTATGTTTCTAATTTTAAACATGTTTTAAGAGCACCAATAAACAGCCCCGGTAATGTTGTTTGAGTCCCTCGGCACTGAATGATTGATAACGTTTTATTTGGCTTCAAGACTCAGGATTTACTCTTATACTTGAAGTGTTGAGAAGACACACTGGGGTTAAAACCTCTGCTTCTGATTTACTGCTTAGTTGCTTCACTTCTAGGCAGGTGAAATTCAGTTGACTTGATTTCACAGGAATTGTATCAGCGGAAAACTGGAGTAATACAGCTGAGAACCGGCTCCAACACACTTTAAGAGACATGTTCTATTCATTATTATTTAGAGCTCTGAGATTCTTAACTTCCAAATGGTTTTTTTGGGTCCCTTATAATTTCGGTCCTAAATTTAGTGGTGGGGTTTTTTTGAATTATTTTTTTAACTGCATCCAAGTGGAGTTGGCTCAGAAGTGGTGAAAGAAAAACATACTTTGTGTTGCTTCCTGACACTGTCTAGTCTATTTCAGTTTCCGTCTCTTGGGCACTATCAGCTGTTGCAATATTTTAATTAGAAATACTGCGAGAATTATTAGAGTTGAAATGGTAGCAATAATCACAGAAGTGTTAGTTTAAAATGCCTTAAGTCCTGAGTTTTTTTAAATAAAATGTAATCTTTGCATCAGAAGAATTTTTTACATGTGGCTTTCACATCTTTTTCTATATCCTTTTATTTAATTATGAAGTATTTTTTTAATATAGTAGCTTGGCAAAAAGTTCTTCCTACCCACTGATAAAATGGAAATGGCCCCTTTATCTTGCTGATATGATTAAGTATCTTTCTGTGGATTTCAACAGGCCAAGGCCCCTTTGCTCAAGAATCATTTTTTCAGAAGACCTGCTGCAGTGTTACCCGTCGTATCTGCCCCTCATAGATTAGGCTTGAGAGCAATATGGTGATTCCTGACATGTCTGACATTCCCTATTTGTAACCTTAGGCCACTATGTTAGGAAGCACTTTAGGTCACAGATTCCTAATCCAGTTCAAAAAGCCACCCATTTTAGGCACAGTTCTGTTCCCACAATTGTTTCTATCACTGTGACTTTTTAGATTTTAATAGTTTTTAAACCAAATTCTCAGAGGAGCATATCATAGTAAACCTGGATCTCTTTGCTAGTCTGTAGTGTGCAGTTCCTGTGAAGGGACTGTCCCATCCTTCAGGTAGCTTAACTGAAAAGATGGGGCCAAGTAGATTGTTGGTAGACAGTCTTCTAGACCAGTCCTTAAGAGAAAAGGACAGGTGTTAATGAGGTCTAATTTAGAAAGAGGAGTCTCCAAAGTTGCGCACTCTTCTGCTGTCTACATGCTGTGAGTGATACTGATGATACTGTGGCAGGTTGCACACCCATACTTAGAAACTATTTCCATTATCAAGGTCATTGCTGTCTTCTGCTAATGCATTGACAGACAAAGCTTATTTTCTTAAAAATGGAGCAGCTGCCCAGTTAATATCCCATATAAAGAAACCTCCCTATGCTCCTCCTGCCCTCCTCACCCCATGATACTGTCTGTTTGGCAGCACAAATAAACGCAGCCCTCACTTTACTGGGGAGGAAAACTTCTGACAGCACTGTCTTCCTTTTATGAGCTTGGTTATGTATGCATTTCTACAGAGAGAGTTTCAGGTAAGCAGTAGTTGCAGATCCAGCTTTTCTGGAGAGACGGCTCAGTCAAGAGTGTGAGAGAGGGGTCAAAATTGATAAATACAGCTGTAACCAAGCCCTTTTCCTTGACTGAGAAAGCATTTGTTCAGGGCAGAGCAGCTTCACAAGATGGAAAAAGTATGTATCTTTCAGCAGAATTTAGCAGGTGGATGATAGTTTTCCTCCATCTAGGTTAGGTGACATCTATGTTAATTTAAACTTATTTGCTTAAAAGTTGAGGGGTTTTAAACTGCATCTATTAATAGTTTATGATTCATAATTTACTCTCTTAGTTCAACCTTAATCCTAGTTAGAGATGCGGTGCACCTTGAATTTCAACAGACTTCTTTGAAGAAAAGTTTTAAGTACTGTTGGCCAGATATGTCATAGGAGTCATGCAATATAATATTTTTAATCAGATGTTTATTTCAATTTTACTTTTTAAATGAACTGGAAAAGATTTCAATAATGGTAACATTTTGTTACTTATGATTTTGGACGAGATCTAAAGAAGGAGCTTGGACTATAACGAGAAATCAGAACATCACTATTTACTCTGTTTGCTTCTTTCTTTTTTCATTTGTGTGAGACTGTTAAGTAAAACTAGGTACATGATACAGTGTATTGCTGATACTAGTTTACACCCCTTTTTTTGTTCTTTCTTTTTTTCCCTCTCTTTCTCTTAAATACAGTCATTGTGGTCCTGTATGTTCCTTCCCAGCAGTTTAGAGCAATGATTAACCATTAGGATAAGGTGTGGGAATTAATCTGCACTTTTAATAAAGCTAAAATATTTTATTTTAAATGGATCCAAATTTTCAAAATTAATTTCTTGGACTATCTGAAATTTTACACCTAAAATTCAATGTGAATGATTCTTTTTACAGATTTGTGAACTTTTTCAAATTTGCAAACGAATCAAATAGACGCTATACTTTCCTGGGTGATACACTTTCTCTGGAAAAATTTAAATATACAAAATGTGCTTGTAAGAAAGAGCTTTATATATAGCACTTTTTAGGGACCAGGTAAGGACCTGGCAGTATTTTGCTTCCTCTTCCTTGTATGTTTGTTTAACTGATAGTAACTAGCTGCATCCTGAACACAGCAGACATTAGTCCTCAAGTGCAGTTTGTAGTTCAGGAAAGCAATTCATCAGTCAGCCACATTAATGAAATCCAGCCTCAAGTAATGACAGTTCCCTCCCCTCTCTCTCCCAGGGACAGTTATGTTTTCTATAACTCTTGCCGAGAAAGCTATGTCATAATGCAAGCGCGTGACCAGTCTGTCTGTCGAGAGGGCATGAGGATTTGAGTTCCTGGCTGTGCACGGGAGTGAGAAATGAAGGGCTCTTGGCTGCCTGCAGCTTTAGAAAAGGGGTTTTCTATAATCACCCTCTGTTGTAAAGGCAGGATTATTTGTATTTGTTTCATTTGGAAATGGGCCTTTTTCGCTCTGAACGAAATACTGTTGAGCCACCTTCCTACCATCCATTTGCTTTCCCCCCACAATGGCTCAGAGGAGAAATTAAGCTGTTGGAGGAATGGGAGCCTTTCAAAGGAGCATTTATGGGCCAAAGGAAAGATGACCAGATGGGCTGTCACCCAAGAAAATACAAATCAAGCCCCAAATCACACCCGGGGATTCTGCCATTGACATTCCATAACGCCTGTTCAGGATTTCTGTTTATTTTTCAAAGAGGGGGATCATATATGGCTTGGCTTAAGCATTTCAATTTATGTTTCTGGCTGTCGGGGGATGCTGGCAAAAGATAAAACATCATCAGCTCATTTTCCATCAGTAGCGCTCTGTCATTCCATTAGAGCAGGAAATAGCTTGCTCTGTTACTGAGTGAATTTGACTTCAGCATGGATCAGAGAGAGGACCCCTAGAGTTAAACACATCTCCTTATGCCAGCTGTTCAGCATAAGACAGCAATGGCGTGTAGCCAAATGACCACCCTCAGGATCCGACATGTGTTGGCACCGCATGGTTTGCAAAAGCAAGCAACATGGGAGCACTGCCAGGGGAAGTGAGGTGTTGGGCTGGTAGTGGGGGGAGGGCTAAAGGAAGTTCCAGTGAGAGGAAGGTTTTCTTTGGTGCGTGCTAGACAGTAAAATAAAGACATAAATATTTTGCTGTAATGGGCCATAATTATAGCTACTGGATTTCCACCACAGAGAGGTATAATATCAGATCCCTGATAGGTGATACTAATTTAATTGGGTTATTCATCTGAGAAGAGGTTCAGAGCTGGTTTCCAGATACCACTGGGTGATATCCCTGAGAAGTCCTGCCACTAAGGGAATCATTTATCATCTCTGTTTTACAATTAAAGCAAGACGTAGCTAAGAAGACATAGCTATAGACTAAGAGTTTCCAGTATTGAATCTTGACTTTTCAAAAAGCCACACATTGAAGCTGTGAGCCTGAATGGTATCTGTTGCACTGAGGATGGGCTCTGAGGAATCTTGCTTCACATCACAAGGTTGCAGTTGTACTGAGTGTAGATCTGGAACCCTGATTTTCTGATATACCACCTTTTTAAATGGCATTATCTGACTTTGAGAATCTTATTTTTTGCGTATATTGTGCTCATCAACTCGCATCCTAATTTACAGTGACCCCCAGCATCTTCAGTTCCAGTTGGCTGCAAGCTCTAGTTATCTCAAGCTACATACTGGGGGGGAAATCTAATCTCAGTGTGCTTCAGTTTGCTTCTTAGCAAACAAGGGTGGGGGGGTTATGATGCTCCAGCTTTTTGCAATAAATGTTTCTAATTAGCAAGGGCAAAATATATAGGGAAAATCAGGTGATATACTTGGCAGGGGGAAGAAAAGTCAAACTTTCATGTACACAAACTGCAGTTCAGGGCACTTGCAGGCTGTTTAGTTACTTGAAGAAAAAGCTTTTATGCTTTGTAACCTGACACACATGTCTAGGGTTTTTTTCTTCTTTTTTTTTTTCCCCCCTCAAATCCCTCCAGCTGTGTCAGCCTAATGAAAGATATTGCCTCTCCCTGCAAACTTTGCCTCACATATCCATAGATCACCACAGCAGATCACTGTTCTGAATTAGGTATCATTTTCTGAGGGCATACTGGCAAGTATAATTTTGGGGGGGTAATGTGAGAACCCTAGTTTAGCCGGTGTGGCAAAGCGGCATGCTGCTGCCAGTCCACATGAGCAGCCTCATCTGGATTCAGTTTTGTAACTGAGGCGCTGCTTTCCTGGTGAGAGGTCGGCAGGCACCTCTGCATGGGTTGATGGGATAGTTGTTTCTCACAATTCCCAGCCTGTCTCTTAGCTTCCAGGCAGCCCGAGCCTTCCTGATTGTCATCATCTTTTCTGAACAGATGCAGACTCTTTATGCTTTCGATGAAGAAGAAACAGAAATGAAAAATAAAATAGTTGAAGACTTGAAGACAGCTCTGCGGACTCAGCCCATGAGGTAATGTTGTTCATCTTTCATCACGATTTACTGCCTCCCTATGGTCAGATGTGACATGGAAAAGAATGGCAAGGACAGAAACCTCATTGTCTCACCTCACACAAGCCTCTCTGATATTTCAGACAATCCACAGAGAGCCTTACAGTCCCTGGTCTGAACGTGCCTAGCTGGGAGGGCATACTAATGCTGAAGCATGTAGCTTTAGGAAAACAAAAGACAGTCTGCTGTGAAAAACTTGTGGCAGACGTGCACACAGGTAAAGACGGTGAAGATCAGATTTTAGACTTCATAGCCCCTGAACATCCTGTGTAATTTGATTGATGTTGGACAAAATCTCAGCCTCTACTCGGAACTTTGAATGGAAGCTTCCCCTTATCTTTGGCGATGTGAACTATTTGGTACAAAGCAGCTAATCCATCTGACATCACCTGGTTTGGCAGTCTTCCTGTTCTATGTGTAACTGTGGCGTAGAGAAATGTTAAGAGACTTTATTGTGTACTGTGTCTTTGAAGGTAAGGTCATCTTTGTTTTTCTGGGAACAAATCTCAGAACAATAGCAAACTCACTAGCATGGGCATTTTCCATTTAACACTTAGAAGAGCATTGTGCAGAAGCAATAAGTACAGTTGATATAATCTCAGGAAACACTCACTCAAAAAGTTTCTGAATATCTTTGTATTGTGTTGAAAAAAGGCCAAATATGTTTGCTTTCACACTATGCTGTGGCTATAGTTTCACAGAGCTGCAGTAATCCTCTTTTTTTTTTGGTGGAGGACACTTAGCTAAACCAATTAAATAAATAATAAATAAAACCTAAAAAATTATCGCAAACAAATTACATTGCAGTTACATTGTCTTGGAGTGAAGGTATTTCTGGGACTTCTTGCAGAGCTCAGTGCTGGTTGTGCTTCTCCCCTTCATGGCGTTTAAAAAGTTGACTTTGTGCAGCTTCTCACCTCACAGCAAGTGTGAGGTAGAACACATCAGCCTTTAAACAGGACAACCCAGCCTCCTTGTGGAGAGCAAGGCAATAGAGAGGAGAGAGAAACGTCTTTTGCTCAAAGCCTTGCAAGGTTTTCCTTCACAGACCTGTATTGCTCCTGCTGGATCCCCTTGACAACAGCCTGTTGCTTCATCTGTTTATAATAACCCTAACAAGCTTCAGTACAAGCACCTATGAGCTGCTCTATAAAGTGTTCTCTCCTAAATTACTGGCGATTGTTTTTTTTTTTAATAGTTAAGCCAAGCCAAATTTTGAGTTAAGTCCTATGTCTCAACTAATTTCCAGCGACTCAATTAGTTAGCTGCCAGATGGGCTACGTGCCAATGCCTGATCAACAGGCCAATTTCTTCTTGATGGAAAGGTTGCAGCAGAGAGGCCCTCGGCTCCATCGGATCCCTCTCATAAGCAGTGCAATTCCCAAACTTTCAAAACACTAGTCTTTCTCATTGAATTTGGACATCAAATCCTATTTTCCTTTCCACTTCTGTTCATCAGGCCTCTGAAGAAAATAGAGACCTAAATTCACACAGGATAAACTGTCTGGAATCCATTTGTGATGGTAGGGTACACTGGGACTCTGACAGCTTACCAGTAGGCTCCTCTGCTTGGATTCTCTGATCCTGATGAATCAAAAGGAGAAAAATGCATATGTTTGGCTCTGTGTTTTATTTTACTGTAGAACTATATCTCTTCTAGTAGAAAATGTAGAATGATAGTACTAATCTGTGCTTTTTTCCAAAACACAAGTTTTAACAGCAACAAAAACTATAGCAGACCTACCCAAACTCCAGTTCCTCAACTCTTTGGAGAAAAGGTGATACCTGATAGGCTAGTGGCCCCCTTTTGAGCAAGTGCATTTCGTTCTGGTATTTAAGTCCTGAAATAATAAAGCCAGGTTATGTCCCAGCATGCAGGAACAACCCCAACAAGGAGAACAAAAACCCCACATGTGCATCTTGTAAGAAAACACATTTTCTTATAGGTTTGTAAGAACTTATGACTATAAACAAGTGTGATGACAAACTGTTGGAGAGAAGCAGTGAGAGAATAGCTTAGCTTTGGGTATTTTAGTGCCCAAAAATGGAGGTTCACAAGTGCAGCAAAAGTGAAACCTTACAAGGGACTGGAAAAAAAATAACTTTTTGGAACCTTAAAAAAATACCTCCTTTAGTCTGAATCATCACTAACTCCCTTTGCTGTCTGCTATTCTCCTTTTGCTTAATGCAGATTTACCTCATGTTACTTCTATATGATTCAGCCGTGTTAGATTCAAGTCTATACTAAGGACGATCATTTATTATGCATCCAGCAAGCAAAGTGCATTATGCTGATTTTTCAGTGGCTCAGTAGTTGTCAGGATTATGCCTGCTCCCTGATTCCAGAACTGATGCTGCAGGTAAGTGGAGCCATGGCTGTTAAGAGAGTGGGAACATCCTGCTCTCTGCACACCCACGGCATATGATCTTTCTGTCTTTCCTGAGCTGGATCAAGACTCACAGGGAAGTTGTCCTCCCCTACACTTGGAAGCCATGGGTGAGTCATTACCTTCTAGGCCACAGCATCTGTGTTTGGATGAAAGGTTTGTTATTAGAGCTAGCTAACTCATTCTGATCAGCGCTCTCTAAAACTTGAAAGACTAAGAGGCATCGTGCCTGTTAAAGTGTGCTAAACTGGTCAAGTGAGAGTCTTGGGGTGAGGTTAGCCTTTAATGTGCTTGTTTAGCACCTATTAAAACACACCCTGTTTTATTTACACTTCAGTTTTTGAATGCGTTAGCCAGAATGCATTGGCAAATATGCTTAACTTTACACCTTCCAGTTTAGAACAAGACCCTACTTTGTAGCATACAGGATGTATAGGATGGCAGTCAGAGACACACGTTTATATTGCGAGGAAGAAGGTACTTTATTTGTATGAGCTGGGTTTACTTCTGTGCGTGCATGCGCACACACACACATCCCTGCTTACAGACACAAACACCAGACAGTATGAGGATTATGGCGCTCAGCCTGTCAGGTAAACTCTCACTCCTTTTTCTGTCCTGTACGGACGTTTACACACATACACACACCAAGAAAATCCTCATACAGAGACTGTTGGACCAGCAACTTCTACTGCCATTTCTTTTCCTCCCTCTTGCATAATTTCTGGCTTTTCCGGACTATTAATAGAGAACTAAGTGTTTTGGAAAAGGAAGGTGAAAATCATAATTTGATTCCTGCTTCTGATGTCAGCTGAAGTGGGAAGGTACTTAGTTTTGCTGCCTGCTGAGTTATGTAGCTTGCTGTTTGTTCTGTGAACTAAAGAAAGTGCAGGAAAAAATCCCGACATTGTTTTAAATTATGTCATTAATCAAGGCCTGTGACACAAACCACTTTCCTGCGCAGGCCTCCTTTTTGGAATGACCTCATCCAAACAGTCCTAGAAAAGTCGCTCTGCTAGTGAATTTAGTAAGGGATTATTCTTAAATGGGACAATGTGACTTTTGTGCATTTACCATTTTTTTCACACAGTCATCAGAGTGGTCTAAAAAACACGAAGGCTGTACTGCCTTGTATATACTGTCCTAAGACCAGTTCCATCTGAAAGTATATTTAAGGGACACTTTGCTGCAGTACTGGAACTGAAAAGAACAGCAAAACATCTGGTTGAGGTTTTTGGTTTTTGTTTGTGTTTTTTTTTCCCATCCCTTAAAACATGGAGGGAATAGCTAAGGTGGATGGATTCATGGAAATAAACTTTGGAAGCGGGGAGGAGAAGGAGAATTTAAACTAATCTAGCCATCTAGGCAAGGAGCAACTGTGCTCTTTAGGCCCAGGGTTAGAGAAATGCTCAGAAGTCATTGGCATCACATTGCTATCATGTTGGATTTGTGCTTGTTTTGATTCCAAATACATCCTTAGCAGCTACTCTTTTAGCTATGAATGCATTTATTTTGGTCTTCTTCAGCATGCTGGTAGCTAAATCCATTACAAGCTGAACTAAGTTTTAATCTTTCTATAATTAGTTTCAAAACCAAACTGCTTTTAGTTACTTCCTAATTCCTAGTGTAAAATGTTGATCCCACTCTCTAGCCTGGAGGCAGAGGGGCTTTTGCTCCTATGATATGTTAGGATAGACACGATGATGCATCCAAACAATGTGCAATCAAACCTGTGTGAAACTTTGTAGATTGTCTTATCAGCATTCAACTACACCTTGTTTGCATTTTTGGTGCACGCAGTTGCTGTGTGTGCTTGCCCTTACTGTGATAATTCATCTTGAAATTCAGTTTTGAGCAAAACCCAAACCTCAGACCAAAACTTTGAAAGCATCAGGCTTTGCCATGTTTCTGGTCAAACCGCTGGCCCAAATAAGCTGAAAGTTGGCAAATCTATCAGCATAGTGAGCATAAGTACGCCCTGAGAATTCCCATGTGGTGGTGGGTGTAACCACCAGAAGACCATACATGTGTCAAGTCCATACTGTCCAGGGGATATAGAAGTATAGCTCAGGTTTGTCTTGCTGGTGCAGGGTCATGAACGGAAAACAGTAAAATTCAGTCTTTCAGTATGATTGTTCCATTACTGATACATATTAGAAGCATCATCTCACTTATGGACAAAGAAGAGAAAGTACAGTAGGAACTATCCAACAGGGAGGAAGAGGGGCAGGGTAAAAAGTAACACAGACTTTTGATATTTTTAATTTTTTACACACAGATGACAATTGTTAACAACCTTTTTATTTGCTTGATATGTCTTTCCGCAGTATGCTGTTCAGAACACGAGCATGGGGGTTGGACTCGATGAAATCCTGAGGTCCTTTCCAACTCCTAACATTCTGTGATTCTGTGATATTGTTGGTGTACATTTTGGTAGACTGAAAATTCAAATGTAATTCACATGGGTTTGCATTCAGACATCCTAAAAATATGCGTCTACCTGAATGACCTCTTAGACGAGGCAGGAGGTAAACAAAGCAATGTAGAGAAATTATTTGCAGACCTTTTCATATCTTTGAATCCCACTTTTAAGCCTGAGTACTCTAAATGAAACATTGTTAGAATGATTGAACTAACTCATATAACTCCATCCTTTTCTATTACTTTGTCTAGGAGGCTGTCTGCATTGTGTAATTTGACCCATCTGTATTTTTTAACCCTGATTTTCAACAAAACCTTAAGCTTTTCCAAGGACTTTCTCCTATGTTGTTTTCATCCTCAGTTTCCATAATCTTAACCTGAAGAAACGCAAATTTTATAGTAGATACAGTAAAAACAGATCTCTGCTGACATCAGCAGTCAAAATAACCTGTCCTACTATAATTTCAGTCTTTAATGTAACATTTGGTTAATTCTGTATTTAATCTATGTTTTTGTTGTGCATTTTGCCACTCAAGGTTGATGGTGGACATGTTCCATCCTTAATATACCTCCTCAAACTAAAACCAAACAAACAAAAAAGCATGCAGTCAAGGCAGTTATAGGAGTTTTGCCTTCTACTGAAGAACATGTCCCCTTTAAATATGATATGTTCCCATACATATCTCTGATCACAGGAACAGAGTGTGAAGTCAGTACAACTTATAAACACAATGGTAATGAGTTTACTTCTGTAATTATACCCAGCTCCTGGAGATGAAAGCCTGTGTATGAGTAGCATAGCCTAAAAGTTTGATCTAAGTCTAAAAATGGCGTTCAAGATAATAAGAACTCATAATTAGGAGTATGGTGATGAGTCTGTATGAAAATGTACCTTTGGTGTATTAGCACTTAGGTAGAATGTAGCTATTTGAAAGAATCTGTTCGACTTTGAAAGTGCAGCAACTACTAGATTGGACCACAGCAGGTGTTTGGGGGTAACTGCAACAAAGAATGCAGAAACCCAGCAGTAAGGTCGTAAGGTAATGGAATATAATTACCCTGAAACTGTGTGCCACACCATTATTAGGTAGTCTGGTTTTTTTCTCATTGTTGTTTGCTTTGTTTTGTTTTTCTTAAATACCTGGGAATTATTCTGTGAGCTTTAGACTGAAATTTTTAAAGATGCCGGATTGAGTAATATGGTGTCTTTTGAATAAATTGCCCTTGGTCTTCTCTCCTTATTTTTTGCCTATTTTTTTTTCCCAGGTTTGTGACCAGGTTTATTGAGCTGGACGGCTTGAGCTGTTTGCTGAATTTCCTGAAGAGCATGGACTATGAGACTTCAGAGAGCCGCATACACACATCCGTTATAGGGTGTATCAAGGCACTGATGAACAACTCCCAAGGACGGGCTCACGTCCTGGCTCATCCAGAGAGTATCAACATCATCTCCCAGAGCTTACGGACTGAGAACATTAAGACTAAGATTGCTGTGCTGGAGATCCTAGGGGCTGTCTGCTTGGTACCGGATGGTCACAAGAAAGTCTTGCAAGCCATGCTTCACTATCAAGTCTATGCTGCAGAAAGGACAAGGTTCCAGGTACAAGGATGATACTTTGCCAGAAATTTCCAGCATGATGAATCTATGCAGGAAGTGATTTTTATAGTGCATGTAAACTTGCTACGTAGTAAAAAGGCAATATTTCTCATTTTGTTTTAGGAAGGGCACTTCCTTAAATAGATTATCAGCAAATTTTTTTTTTTTCTTCTCAAGACTTGGTTGCTTGTCATTAGTGCTAATTTAAAACCTCGTGTATTTTTCCTAAAAATGAAGGTTTGCTATGTTAAATGAAAGCTGCTAATCTGTTCCTACTCTATACCCGCTCGGTCCCCATGTGTTGCCAGATCTAGTTGAGAGGCGTCCCTGCTCATGACAGGGAGGTTGGATTAAATGATCTCTAAGGTCCCTTCCAGTCTAGGCCATTCTATGATTCTGTGTTTCTATGACTAAGTGTGGTAGTGATTTGTTCTGCCCTGGAAGCCAAAGCCGTGGAATTCCAGGAGCCTCCATCCTGATTTTAATGCCCTTAACTTAGTAATAAGAGAGTAATGGATTAAATAATGGAGGCAATGGATTAAATAATGTACCGTGGAGGCACTTCATTTGGCACTTAGGAATCACCTTGTGAATTGTCACCACTTAGCAATTGTTGGCTCAGAAAACTCAGTCTCAGAGATGTTGAGGTAGATCAGTAGATCATTGACAGGCTTCTGTTGTGGATACTACTGGCTGCTATTTTAACATTTCCCTTACTAGTGAACTGAGCACCTTTACAAAAAGATGTAACAGAATCTGCTGCTGTGTGTGAAATTGCACCTCCTAAACTTCAGGATAACGTCACCTATTTACTATGCTTTCTAAGGTGAAATAAGGGTGGTATTGGGCAAATGGCCCCTGGATAGTGATTTCTGTTAGCCTTTGTCTCCTGCCTCCTCCTCAGCTAGTACATCAGTGGATTTTGGGCTACAATGAGCTTACAAACATAAAAGTGAATGAGGAAATAGTCTGTGCTTCTGAACAGCAGCTGCCAATGTTTGTTGTCAGAACTAAATGCACTGTGGGATTTAGGGACTGTGACTCAGATTTCAGACTGAGGTACAGGAGATCTTGGCTTTGTATTAACCTATATGTGGCATTGGCAGGTCCACCCCTCTGTGTGCACTGCCTCGTTTGCGTTTCTTGTCTGTTCAAACGTGGTGCATGTCTTCAATATGCAGGTGTGAGACCTGCGATGTACGTCTCCAGAATGGGGGGGAGCCTTTTGCTCGTTGAAAGCTCTTGAGGCTGTTTCACTAGAGAAACTAGTAACTACAGTGAAAGTTGGAAGGTCAAAAGATTACAGCTTCCATCATAAGATTATGTTGTCATTCTTTAGTACAAGAGTAGGGTAGGAGTGAATGATGCAGAAGCAGAAATGTAAGCCATGTACGGCATTATGATGTGCCGATTAATGTGGACTGCCTGTGGAAGAGAGAAGGGAAAACTTAAAAATTAGCTTGTTCTATAGTAATTTACTGAAATAAATAATCCTTCCAGAATTAATCTGACATTTTTGAATATCTGGAAGACAAATGGGGAAAACTTTAGATGATCAACAAAAAGCAGTTTAACTCATGGCCCTGATACTTGTGGTCATGTGCTAGTTTACCCTTACCTGATCAAGTGACTCTTATGAGTCCTTATGGGAGATAGATATTGGGTTTACACAATGTCTTCTGCTTGGGCCCTCTCCTTTTTCCTGTTGGTTTAAAATTTACTGAATAATTGAGACAAGTCATTGCTGGGCAAAGTGGGGTAGCACAGAACTCGTACAGCTGAGCTTTTGAGGAATCTGGTGTAATGATTTGCAGATGCTTGCCAACTCTCACATTCATGAAAGAGTACTTTGCATAAATACTTACTTTTGTCAAAATGCTTTTCCATTGGGGAAAAAAAATGAAAGATAAATGGATACTCTCTCTTTTCTTCTTTCTTAAACAAAACAAAAGTCCCCTAGCCAAACCCCAAAATGATTTAGCAGAAGGGATGCATTCTTGTTTGCAATTTCTAACACTTGTGTCTAGATGCTGGGATGGGATTTTCCACTACACTCAGCAATAGCTTGGGCTTAATTTTGAGGAGGTAAGAGTTCATCCAACGACATTCCTCATCCATCTTCAGTATTTTCTTCTAACAGAGAGACTGGGAATTTTTTATATGCTGATGAAGGAAATGTGGTCATGATCTTTCTTACATTTTAGCAGAAGATTCTTTGATACTCTAGAACTTGACAGTTAAGAGAGTATTATATCTCTTTGCAACTGACTCTCCCACACTTGTGCCTTAAAATGATCTTGCAGCTCATTATCAAGAGAAGCATCCATTCTAACTTGACTATAGGAGGCATTCTAAGACAAGAATGATCTGACAACACTTATCCTATACCTTTACTATAAACTTCAAAGATGTGATGTACAATGTACAATGAAAGCCAGTCTTTATCCTAGTCCTGAGCGTAATCTTTGTAACATAGACTTTGCAAGTATCTGAAGACATTCTTTAAGTTTCTAACTGAACTCTTTTGGGGATGTGCTTCCTTTATCCTGAGCAACTAGCAGCATCACTCAGTGTATTGAAGTGGCCAAACAATTTAGACGTCGCAGCTTTAGGCTGACTTTGACTGGCCACACCTAATCACGATTATGTTGAAAATGATCCCCACAACTGGAGATCTGACAGAACCAAGAAACGGGAATTCTTTCTATGAAAAGTAATAAAAAATGAACTGAACTGTAGGAACAGGAGAAGCATACTTTGAATGGGCAGAGTGGGAATTTATTCCTTTGATTCTACAGTTCATTATTGCAGACTGAGTCTAGTGGGGGGAAAAAAAGAAAGATGGGAACTGTAAAGGCACCACTCCATCTTTCTCTAGATCTCATTCTATAAGACAATGGCCAAATTAGAGACATAATACCTAAGAGGAGAATATTTTCAGATTCTCAGTTTTGGAAATCAAACTCAGTTCTTGTGAAGTAAAAAGCGTACAGCTTTCTGGAAACTGTACTGAGCTCATTTTTTTGGAAAGTCCAATAGCTAACTTATATTGACGCTGACCTCTGACAACATCCATGTAATTGTTGCTTTTCTTTCATGCTGCCCTTCTGCCTGGAATAACTCTCCCTTCAATGTCCAACAGGCACTCTGCAGTTCTTTGTTTAAGATATTCCTTGAAAACTGTCCTCTTCAGAGTAGTATTCCGTCTTTACTCAAATACCACAGTAATAAAAAGGCATGCTTTCAGTCTACTTCCTGAGGCAGTCTGGAAAACCTCTGTCTTTTCTTTATCCAGTTTTTGTTTGAAATATGCTTCTTTGCCTACAAATTCTACTCTGTCCCTTAAAGAAGAGAGATAAAAGCAAACACTGGAAAGTAAAAGACAGTAAACCCTCAAAACAGAAATGTGGAATTAGGAAGATGAGCCCTTGGTGTCCTTGCTGGGATTCTTTTCCATCTAATATATTCAAAATTAGTACTAGTGCAATTCTATCACTGGCTCACTGTGTGACTCTAAAACAGTATTTGTCATGAATTTCTTATGTGCTTTTCATGTGAAGATCGAGGTTTCTTAAATGCTATGAGAAGTGAGAAAGAAGAGTCTTTGATTTCAGTGCCATTCATGACTGCATTATCCTATTTATGACTCGTTTCCTTTGTGAAAGAGGCACAGTTTTGCTCTTCCCTAAGCTGTTGCCTTACTGACTGTGGTTACGCTTACAGTTTCCTCTCCTTTTTCCTATGGAGTCAATGCTTTGTGTCATAATGTTGTCACATGCTGTACTTTTTTAACATGCCATGTCTTGAGTCACATTAATGTTTTGCAAAGTCATAATACTGTACTGCCCCAGAAAAGTATATTAGGATATTCCAGTGCCTTTTCAGCCTAATTTGCTATTTGAAACACCCACCCAGCTGGGGAACCCTGTGGGAAGAAAGAAATTTGCTTTTAATCCTGAGAGAACCTAGGTGTTAGCTACTGTCTGAAAAGAGCTGATGTCACTTTCTGATGAAAATATTAACTAGGCTACTTTGGGCAGAACATGTGTTTTCCTCCTTAGTGCTGCTAGAAATCGTGAAGCTTGCAGTGAAGGAATAAAGAAAGCTTAATATTGTCAGTTGGAAAGGTCGAGATTAGGAGCGTGCCTTCTAGAGTCCCCTTGCCTGAGTTGTGTTAAACACTGTCAGTACAGACAATAATCAGTAGGGAGAAATCCAATCAACTTGGAATTGTAATAGAGGAGATAACAAGGAACAAATTAAAATCCCATATTCCCACTTGATTTGCTGCTTCTCCTCAGGGCTCATCCAAAGCCTTCTGAGGTTTGCTACAGATTGAATAAAACCCTGCTGGATGTCAGTGATGAGGAATAACGGGATTAAGTGAGGGAAGTTTTGCTTAAATAGTAGGAAAAACCTTTACAACCATAAGTTCAGTTGGGCTGCGGAGCTGGCTGCCAAGAGGTGTGGTGAAATCTTTTTCACAGGAAATGTTCAAGTAAAGACTTGAACCTCAGCCATTTGCAAAGGTTTGGAGATATTGGAGTTCGGCCACAGCGCGTGGGTGTAGACTCTGATCTTTAGGAATTGCATGAACTTAGAGTGTTTCCTTGTAGAGCTGAAGAATTGCATGAAGTTGTGCTGCTCTTCAATTAGCTTTGTGCAACCCAGACTTTTTGCTTTGCTTGCTCTGAATTTCACTTGGCCACCACTGCATTCTGCTCCTAGTCCAGCCTTCTGAAATGAGGGATAGAAAACTTTGTTAAAATCCTTCAACCTGTCTGGATGATGTATCTGATAGGTTGTTGCTTAGATTTTAGCATGTTCCTAAAAGTCTGTGAGAATATATGGTAGGAATGAGGCCTCTGAAAAAAAACCAGCAAAACCTTCCTTGGTTTTGGTGCTTCTGTAGTAATGGCTGCTTAAATTATTCTGGGAAGACATGTATTTTGGATTTCAGCATCAAATCTGACTTTAACAGAACTAAATTCTGTCATTGATTTCACTTCTACTTACTTGTCAAGTTGAAAAGTGAGGTTTGTTTGTGAATTTAAAGGCTTCTTAAATGTTCTTCTGTTGTCATTGTTACAAGATAGGATGCTGGACTGGACTGACCATCAGTCTGATTCGGTAGGGCTTTTCATGTATTTTTGTGTAAGATTCATTCCTATAACTAGCAAAATGGGGGAAGGGCTAGTATTTCGTCATAGTATACCTACTGGGAAATCGTGGATGTGATGGAAGTTCAAATGCCAGCTGGTAAATTTAGAAGATGTGAGAAAAAGGAGTTTATGAAATCAAGCTTCAAGTACTTGAAATCAAGTACTCTGTTTGGATGTAATAACAGCTGCCAGTAGCAGTATATGATAGATCAAAAGTTTTTTACACAAACGTAAGCAAAAGATTTGCATGAAGCCAGGAGGGAATGCACAGGAGGATATTACCTCTATTTCTTGAGGCATATCTCCATGGTGATAGACCTATGAAACTGATGACTAGCACAGGAAAGATTTCGTCATGAATAAACTCTTTTGAGTGGCCAGAGACAGAAGACTGACTAAAGGAAAATGAACTTCCTTACTCAGCATCATAGCTTTAAAATATTATTTAGATGGTCTGCTGAGCTGAACACTAAAGAGTTATTTTTGTCTTCCGTCTCCATTTATGGCCAAAACTTCTTGAGAGGAGTAAAAAGAATTCTATCTTTTCTAGTGCATCAGCAAAACACTTATATGATTGTGGGACATTCTTAAGGCTGGAGTGAGACTCATACAATTGAACTGGCAGATCTCAAGTGGAATTAGTTACTCTTCCAGTAAGAAAAATTATCTTTTCAATTATGAACTGATCAGAGAAGATCCTCAAGAGAGGATTCATGGTCATCAGTACAAAGCTACGAGTAGAGTTGCTTTCACGGCTAGTCAGTTTCCACATATAACCTCTTTGGTAAATATCCAAGTGGTGTTAATCCCGAATAGACCATATAAGGCACAGGCTACTAACATTATTTGTTTGGCCTTCTTTCTCCTTTGTTTCTTGATGTTCACAAGATTATAGTAAAATATCTATCTGTATGTAGGATAAGACTAAAAGCATTTCTGTGCTAAAAACCTCCTGAATGGTAAATACCCCTGCTGTTTAGTTAATAGGGGGACATGTGGTCTCTGGGGAGACCTTATAGCAGCCTTTCAATATATGAAAGGAGCTTAAAAGAAAGATGGAGAAAGACTTTTCAGTAGGGCCTGTTGTGACAGGTCAAGGGCTAATGGGTTTAAACTAAAAGAGGCTATAATTAGACTGGATAAAAAGAAGAGGGGTTTTTTTTTATGATGAGGGTGGTGAGACACTGGAACAAGTTGCTCAGAGAAGCTCTAGATGTGCCATCGCTGCAAGTGTTCAAAGTCAGATTGGATGGGTCTTTGAGGAACATGGTCTAGTGGAAGGTGTCCCTGCCCATGGCAAGTGGATTGGACAAGATGATCTTTAAAGGTCACTTCCAACCCAACCCATTCTGTGATTTTGTAACGAGGACACTGGAGCTTAACTGCACTTCCAGTGGAGCTGTGTAATTCACCTTTGAGCTTTGGACCTGTGTGTACAGGGGATATTCCTGTTACTTGTAAATCCCTTAAAGGAGCTTACCAAAAGGTAAGTGATTGTCTGCTTCATATGAAACAGTTCTAAGTGAAGGAAAAAGGAGAAATCCTCAAATGTATAGGTTTTATTCCTCAGAAGAGAGCTGCTCTTTAGAATTGTCTCCCCCTGTATACAAAAATGCAACCTATCCTGCTGAGACCCAAGAAAATAATGAAAATTGCTTGAGCAATTGGAGTAGAAAGGATGTACAAATCTGATGCTATTTTTCTACACGTATAAACTCCCTGTCATGTTCGCCATAGAGTTAGCTGACTAGGAAGGACATAATTCTGCTGCTTTCTTAGATCATGTTGTCAAGATCTATAAAGGGCATCTACTCTTTATCAGATAATAACTTGTTTTAATTTTTTTTTTTTCATTAGGACCAGTGGGGCTTTCTATTCCTTTCACTTGTCTTCATTTGTTTATTCTGGCTTTCTCAAAATTGCTAACAACCTTATCTGCAAGAAAGTATTTCTTTAAGCAAATATATAGCAAATTAAGGAGGACTCTGTGCGTATCCCATGTACAGTATGGAGAATGGTGTGAGAAATTAGATTATATCCTCTAACCTAGCCTCTTGTTCTGTTTCAGACATTGTTGAATGAGCTAGACCGAAGCATGGGGCGATACCGAGATGAAGTAAATCTTAAAACAGCCATCATGTCCTTTATCAATGCTGTTCTGAATGCTGGTGCTGGTGAGGTGAGTCACTGCCCTGGACATTTCTTCTAAGAATGTTACACTTAAATGAATTTACCTTGGAGATATTTAGTAGATTACATCACAAATCTTTTGCTGTTAGGTGGATATAGTTTGTAAAAAATAATGCTGAATTGTTAATATCAATTGTATAATGTCTTCCATGTTATTTCATTCCCAGCCTCTTCTAATAGAACATAGACTACTTGCGCTAAAATTATTCCTTCCAGGGGCAGGAGCGGTTGTTGTGGTGGTGTTTTTATTTAAAGAACTGCAAAGCATTTACCTCTGCATTTCAGGCTTTTAGAAAACATTTAGATTTGCCTTCACAAATATTTAGAAATGTTATTTTGGCTCAAAGTGTTTAAATTTTAAAACTTCAAAGGGAGACACTTCAGAAAAGACAGTTTGTTGTTTTTCTTTCATTAACAAGACTTCCTTTTGAGTTTGAGGGCAGTTTGAACTGATTATGTTTCATTGAAAGTGTTACTTTTATTACATTGGCATTTCTTTTTTTTTTTTTTTAAACCAAAACAGAAAACAAGCAATGCATTTGTCTCTGCTTGCAGTAGTTCTGTAACAATCCACTGAGTAGGTGTCAGGTTTTCCAGAGTGTATAGTGATTTTATGACAAATAAACATAAAAACTAGGAAGAAGACTGTAAACAGGAGGAAGACTTCTAATGAACTAGCAGGACCAACACTAATAACTTTTGTTCTTTATGGAACAGCATGAAATATGCTGTCCTTCTGACTAGGTGTGCAGAACTCATTTCAGGTAGATGAGGACTGTATTTTTAAGTGAAACATAGGGAAATTTTATTATTATTTTTTCCTTACTTTACTAGAATTAAGCATCCTGTGTGTTCTGTGTCAGGATAGAGGATATTAAAACGGGAAGAACAGAGGTGTGAAGTAATTTTTTTAATGTGATTAAAAACCTTTGGAACCCAATAACTTGATTTTCCCTCACTTTTTAAGGACAATTTGGAGTTCCGATTGCACCTACGATACGAGTTTCTAATGCTAGGAATTCAGCCCGTCATTGACAAACTACGAGAACATGAAAATGCCACACTGGACAGGTAAGACATGTTTTCCAAGAACAGTTATTGATCAACAGAAAGAGTTCTTAGAAACTCTTCTTCATTTGCATTTTGGATTTAAGCACGAAGCTGTCTCTGTCTCTTCCTAAAACTGACTCCCTTTAAAGATGAAAATGAGATTGATCCTTAAAATTAAAATCAGCAGATGAAGTGGGAAAGATACACACTAAATTGGGAGGGACTGTGACAAGGAGTTCCTAGATTGCTTTTCTTCTAACCTGAGGATGGCAATCAGAATGAAAAAAAAAAAAAATGAAAAAATGTTCTGATTCTTTTCTCTTGTAGTAAAACTGAAATAAAACCCTGTACTGTTAGGAGGGAGGGAAGCCAGTAGTTCATTGACTTCATTGAAACTGAGTATGTGTAGTTAGAGTGCAGGTTCTGAGTTTCCAAGTTGTTTTTTCAAGCTCAGTCTTTCTTCTGATCTGTCTTGTATTACAACCTCCTAAACAGCAGCATTGGTACAGCTCTGAGAGAAGAGACCCCAGTGGTGGGTAAAGGGGTAGAGATGCCAAGGGGACAAGAGAGAAGAATGAGGAACATCTTCAAAAAGCTCTGCCACTGCACAAAATGTAACACTGAATGGCACCTTCAAATTACTTTGTTAAAAGTTTATGGATAATAAATGTTTTCTCCTCTAGCAATTCCATATTTTGCCACAGTAAATGAAGCTGCTAATGACCTTAAATTAAACCCTGCACAAAGCCACATGCTGAAATAAACTTGGAGAAACAATCCGAACAATTTGACTGGGATGCTTCAAGAAGCTAAAAGACTTATGAACCAGTGGGAGGCCTGGAAAAAAAAATCTATTTGCTTAACAAAATGGAGCATTTTAAGGTGTGAGAGCCTGCAGCTGTGGGCATCTACCTTCTCTTGTGACCACATTAAGCTTTGTGGAGAGGCACTGACCTGCTGATGAGCTGCTATCTCTTACTGTCTGGTACTCCAAGCCCCTTCCTACAGAGCAGAGCTGACCTGTAGGTATTAGATATCACAGATTTCCTAGGTTAGAAGTATCATGTTTGCCAAAGCTTGTAGTGAAAAACCTACGGATCGGGCCTATACCTGCAGCTTTCAAAGAAGCTTTTCTCAAACATCCCCTAGAAGAGCTGTTGTAGGTTGATAGAGCTATCCCTGGGGGCAAATAAAATGTGCCTGAGATTCTGCGTAAGCATCAGGTTAGCACCAACTGCCTGTGATAAAGACTGGCCTCAATCTTTGAGCAGGTGAAGGCATATACCTGTGTATCAATGACACAGGGAAAGATTGCATGCAGTTGTATATGTTGATCTACAACATTATAACTTGGCCTATAGGCAATTCATGTTCCTTTGGTCAGTAACTAGGAGTGTTTAGGAGGGCCTTAGAGGCACTTTTGGATTTTAAAAGTTACAGTCATGAGAATGGTAACAGAGCTTTAAGAGGATCCCAGATGCCAAGGTCTATACTGGGGGCTATGCCACAGGCTTTCTCCACATCATCTGCTGTGCTAGTGTTGAGACAATTTCTGTTTAACGTCTTTACTGGTGATTTTCATAAGGACAAAGAGTGTATCATCAGTAAGTTCACAAATGAAACTGAGTTGGGTGGGAGTGTTGATCTGCATGAGGGTAGGGAGGCCCTGCAGAGAGACTTGGATATTTTGGATCAATGGGTCAATGTTAACGGTGTGAGCTTCAACAAGGCCAAGTACCAAGTTCCGCACTTGGGCCAGAACAACTCCATGCAATGCTACAGGCTTGGGGAAGTGTGACTGGAAAACTGTCTGACAGAAAGGGACCTGGGGATTCTCATCAACAAGGGGCTGAATGAGCCAGCAGTGTGCCCAGGTGGCCAAGAAAGCCAATGGCATCCTGGCTTGTATTAGAAATAGTGTCACCAGCAGGAGTAGGGAGGTTAATTGTCCCCCTGTACTCAGCACTGGTGAAGCCACACCTTGAGTATTGTGTCCAGTTTTGGGCACCTCAATACAAGAGAGATATCGAGGTGCTGGAGTGAGTGCAGAGGAAGGCAACAAAGCTGGTGAAGGGCCTGGAGAATAAATCTTATGAAGAGTGATTGAAGGAGCTGGGGCTATTTAGTTTGAGGAAGAGGAGGCTAAGGGGAGACTTCATCACTCTCCACAACTACCTAAAAGGACATGGCAGAGAGGTTGGTGCTGGTCTTTTCACACGGGTAATTAGTGATAGAACAAGAGGGAATGGATTCAAACCACAACAGGATAGTTTTAGAATGGACATTAGGATTTTTTTTTCACAGAAAGAGTGGTCAGACATTGGAATAGGCTGCCCAGGGAGGTGGTTGAGTCACCATCCCTGGATGTGTTTAAAGGTTGTTTAGATGTGATGTTGGGGTATATGGTTTAGGGGTGAACTTTGTAGAGTAGAATTAATGGTTGGGCTCTGATCCCAAGGGTCTTTTCCAACCTGAATGATTCTATGATTCTAAAGAGCATATATACTCAGCCAGCCTGTCACTCACCTCCATCAGTTGTCTTGCATACCTGTCCAAGCACTTCATGTAAAAAGGCTTGCCAATTTCAAGTGTTCTAGATGGAAATGAGGTGTTGCTGCTTCTGTAGTGACACACACAGTTTAAGTCTAAATTATACCATGAACATTAGCAGGTTTTGTTTGGTTTGGTTTTCTGTTTTCTCTTAGGCACTTAGATTTTTTTGAGATGGTCAGAAATGAAGATGACCTGGAACTTGCCAAGCGGTTTGACCTGGTAAGTTTTTCTCTGGATTACCTGAATTTGCAAAAGCTGAGAGTGGCTGGTGCTCTTGTCTTCAGTTTCTCATTTACCCAGTAGAGGGTCTATGATGTGTGAAGGAGGAAAACAATAGTCACAGACAGGGCTTATGCCAAGTACCTTTGACAAAGACTTCTTCCTTTGGTTTGTCTGAAGGTTCGAGAGTGGAAGAGTTTCTCAACCCTGCTCTCATGTTCTCAGTCCTGATGATCCAGATGCATTCTAGTTTCAGATATCCCCTTTGCATGACTATGGGTGAAGCTTGGGTTCTTCTTTAATGCTTTTGCCATGATTGCTGTCACCTCTCATCACTTCACCTACTGGAGAGCATCAGTATTTTAGACTGGGTGGATTTTAAAGAGGAGAATAACCAAGGATAGTTTCCACAACCTCTAGCAACAGCAAGAGGCTGTAGGGTCCAGAGCATTTATAGTTTTCTTTTTCTTCATGACCAGCTCTTGCTGCACACCGATACAGGACAAATAGCCCTTTCCTGCTTAACTTTTATACTCTATTAAATATAAAATACAAAATATCATATTTACTATTTGTGCCACCACTTTCTATGACCTAAATACTTTGCTTACTCCAGAACAGCCCTTGGTGGCTTTGCATGCCTCCTACCTTTCTAGCCTGTTACTTTGGGGATCTTTTCCGTATTGGAGTGGGGATGACAATGCTGGTCTCAAAGACCCATGTGCCTGCCCCTCACTGGAAATTGCAGCTGGACATTGCAGGAGACTCTGCAGTGATCCATTTGCTGGAAATTTGCCTGTTTCTTTGTTGATCAGATCTTTCACAGTTAGTCAGGCTTTCACTGTGTATTTCTTACTTGTTCTTTGACTGCCTTCTCTCACTTCAGATCCACATTGATACAAAAAGTGCCTCTCAGATGTTTGAGTTGATTAAGAAGAGATTGAAGCACACAGATGCCTATCCCTATTTGTTATCCATCCTCCAGCACTGCTTGCAGATGCCATGTGAGTACATTACAGTTTTCCAGAGCAAAGGATATTGAAAAGCTAGATGAAGCTTTCATGTAGGCACATGGTCACAGCTACCAGGACACACACTTGTCTTCCATTCAGAACTTGGCAGTGGCTAAGGGACTCCATATCTTTACACTGACTCTATCCAGCAGATTTTTGTTGCAATGCTTAAAGCAGCAGCTTGACCTCTGTGCACTTCCAAATAAAATTAAGTAGCTGAGACATGCCAGTTAGTCACTGACAGAGCTTTTAAAGATTTTATATTAGAAGTTTTTAAAAAGAAAGGGCCCTTGTGCTCTAGATCAGGGAATTCCCAGAAATAGATACCATTTTGAATATTAACAAAATGCACTGAGGAATTTCTCTGGAGAAACAATACAGTGCTGAAAGCTGTTCTGTCACTGCGAAGTGCCATAGTTAAGTCTTCAGGCTGCTATCTCATGGCAGTGTATCAGTGGAGAGCTCTTGAACTCAAACTGAAAAATAATATTGGCATTTGTTTGAAAAAGAAGTGATAAGAATCTTCTGGTTAACTGCGATAAAATAACTCAGTTATGCTTCCAGTGTTGCAGCTGAGCAAAGGCGTAGCAACATCACTAAAGAACTGCCTGCCTTGATCCTGTTAAGTATCAGGTGCTGATCTTCATTACTTTCAGCCACACTTGAGCAGTCAAACTGTGGAGGGAACACAAGGGAGATATAGTGTGGTGTGCTTTTTTTTCAGAGTATATTTTCAGTCACTCATTAGATTCAAGTACTGCCATGCACAAATTCAAGCAGTTGTTTGTCCCAGTGGTCCTTTTGATATTAGTCTTTAAGACAGTACTTGAGCTTTAGGTATTGGCCTGGATTTTTGGTGGTGGAAGGGCTAAATCCTGATAGGACGGAATTGTACCAGAGCAGTTTTAAAGAATCTAAGGGTCTGGATTATATAAATCAGGTTGCTGAGATTAATTTTATGTTGCTCTGGCTCTTCTGTTGGATATCCATGGGTCCAACCCTTTGATTCAATTTCTGTCTTTCCTCTCCACCACATTTTTGGTCATTTTTGCATGAAGTTTTCACACCAGTTGAATTTCACTAACCAAGCATGCAGATAGAACATCTGATTGTTTTTACAGTGCCTGGTCATGATAATACCTAGATACCAAAAAACCCCCCAACATCAAGCCCCAGAAATTATTGAGTAACAGCTATCACAGAGGAATCAATTCTGTCGATATTTAAAGTGCAACTTACAAGTAGTCTGTCAGAAGGGCTGCATAGCCTGAGTGTGTGAATAAGGCACAGAGTTGCCTGTGCTTATTATTTGCTGTTCCAATATGGCAGGTGTTTGTACATAATCTGCTAGCAACAGTTCAGGGGTAGGCTTTATGTTCTACAATTTACTACATGCAGGATTGAGATGGAAGGTGGAAAGGAAGGAATGCTAGTCTGTTGGCAAGTCCGTGCCCTTCGGCCTGGAAATGGAAGTTCTCATGGATCAATCTTTTTCTGTACAGATAAGAGAAATGGAGGAACCTTCCAGCAGTGGCAGCTGTTGGACAGAATACTCCAACAAATTGTCCTACAGGATGAACGAGGAGATGATCCGGATATAGCTCCATTGGAAAACTTCAATGTTAAAAATATTATTAAAATGTAAGCCGCATTATTGTTTTTTCTGTTATGCAGATGTAAGTATATGATAAGCATGCAGGTGCTTAGGAAATAAAATACCATATCTAAGGAGTTTCTTATATTACCTTAAAGCTTCTTGTTGTCTTGTTAGTTTTTTAGTTTCCTTCTAGTGACATCTTAATTAGACAGTATATTCTAGCAAAGTCCTTGCCTTTGCCTTCGCCTTCTAATTTCTATTGCATATTAACCTGGTTAGAAGAGCAGAAGAAATACCTATGATTTTATAACAGTGCTTTGTCATGTGCCTTTTTTCATTTAGAATGTTGATGAAAGCTTTCACTGATGTTCCAAAAGAACACCACCCCACAAGTAAAAAAAGAAGTGATCCTCTCTGGATCTCATTTCTCATTAATGAGCACATAGTTTAGAAAGATTCCAAAGATTGGAAAGCAGCCCCCATCTAGCACACAAAACTTTTTACCTCTTCATAAAATGTCTGCATGCTCGCACCCACAGATTTGGCTGAGGGCACTACCATTATTTTTTTCCCATAGGATGCATCATTTGAGAAGTCTAGCTACATGAGCTGGCTCTCATCACAACTTCCCTGTTCTCAGTCCTTTTTTAGCCAAACTTTTTGACTCTTCATCCCATCCATCTGCCACTGCAGGTAATTCATGGCCCATTACCCTCCTGAGTTATCCACTGAAAAGAGCATTTCATAGAGTATAAGCCTCATATGAAGCCAAATTCTCCTGTACTAAAAATCTTACATGCCTGTTATAGGCATGAGCCAAAATCAAAACTGATTTCTCATCATGGAAAAATACACTGTTGTTGATCTCTTTCGGTCTGACTGGATATCAGACTTCATTGTAGACCTCATGCCTGATCTTCTCTTTTTACTTTCGTAGCTACTCCTCATTCTGCATATCTAATCAATCCCTAGCATGCCCTGCATATTTTCTGTCAGTAATAGGAAATAGCTGTGCTAGTATGAGATATGAACTTGTTACTGATATATTACCCAATAGATAAGCATTCTCCATACTTGTAAGAAAGAAGAAAAGGAACCACAGAAAGTAGAAAAAAAAGATGGCAATCTGGTCTCGTATTAAAGGCGAAGTAATTTGTAGCCCACAGCAGCTATGACTGTTTGACTTCTCTCTTTCAAAATAAATAGACTTGACTCTTTGAGAGCATTACCTGAAGAGATGGAACGTTTCAGGATTTTTTTCCCCAGGCATTCCTTTGTCCCTTTTTATGACTTCAAGCAACAAGCCATCCCATTTATATTAGCTGTTGGCTACAGTAAGGATCAGGATCTGGAACCAGACTGACCACTGCTATGATCCTGTATAAATACGTAAATTCACCAGGTTGGCTTTTGCTGATCACTATACGTAACGGCTACTTGTCTTTCAGCCTGCGTAGCTTAGAACAAGTTTAAATTATCTGATTTATCTTTCAGGCTGGTAAACGAAAATGAAGTCAAGCAATGGAGGGACCAAGCAGAGAAGTTTCGGAAAGGTGAGTGTATCCTTTATACTTGAGGTGGCAGAATAGATGGCAAGACTGATCCTGGATTTAGTCACAGAGCAGCAGAGCTGGGAGCAACTTCTCCTTTTGTGGACAGACACTGCTTTGTTCCTTCCAGTACATTATGTGTTTCATAGGATGGGGCTTCTGTCAGTCCTTATGTAAAGTAATTTTACAGTCTAAGTGGAACTTGGGTATTGCTGTCTTGGTCACTGAAGATCACTGCCAAGACAGTCACTCGAATTACATATTCCCAGTTGAACTGACAGCTTTATTTCAGCATAACCTGCATCTCTTCAGGGGCTGTTCGTGATCTTTATTTCACCAGCCCCATTTGCTGTTTCCCTTAGACCACGCCGAACTGATGAGCAGGCTAGAGAAGAAGGAGCGGGAGTGTGAGACAAAGACCCAGGAGAAAGATGAAATGATGAAGACACTGAACAAAATGAAGGACAAGCTGCAGAAGGAATCCTTGGAGCTGCGCCAGACCAGGGACCAGATGAACGACCTGGTGGCTCAACTTAATGAGTTCTCGGTATGAGACTGAGACTTTTCCCATCCTTTGTTTAAAGCCTACTAACTAGGGAATGAACAGAAACACATTATGAGGGAAACACTTTCTATGGTCAGTACAGAGATAATCTGTCTAGCCAGCTACAAAGATGAATACTTAAAAGTTTTTAGCTGAGACCAAAATCCTTGAACTGGTGATATAGAATGGCTAATGCATGGACTGCTCAATTCCATCTCCTCAGCCACCTTCCTTACAGGAGCTACTGAGGCACACATGTCCTCCTCTAGCCATAATTTTTAGTGCTACTTGTCATGGCCCTGCTTGTTACTTCTGTGGAACAGAGAGAAATCTCCCAGATATGAAAGTAAATGTAGTGAAGAAACAGGATTCCTATTGTGCTTCAGGACATAGCCCTGAGAAGTTACACAGATTCTAAAGAAAGCAGAATCATTCCCTCCTCCCCTTTCCTACTTTGTACTAGTGAGGCCTAATGACAGGTATTCAGTATTTCAAACCCTAAGGTTTAAAACCCAGGAGTTCAAAAGTTCGTAAGATTGAACTTTTTTCATACATAAGGAGAAAATAATACATTTTGGCTTCTTTTACTAGCTTTCTGTTTTTCTGAGCCATTTATGGTTCATTTTTTCAAGCTCTTCTCCAAAACTTCAAGGGCTTGAAACTTTCTCTCAAATGAAAGCGGAGATTCCTCCCTTTATTGCATGGCTTTGAGTGCAGGAGGCTTTAAAGAAAACATCGACTATTTTGAGACTCATAATAAAATCACATCAGCTGGCAACATGGAGTTCTGTGCCTTTTAAACTCTTCGCTTTCTTCTTCTGTGTTTTTTTTGTTTTCCAGCAAGGGGGCAGCATTTCCTTCCCAGCCCCCCCACCCCCCCCTCCAGGTGGCCCATTAGCTTTGTCCTCTTCTCACATGTCTGAGAATTTGCCACCACTGCCACCTCCTCTACCTTTCTCCAGCTGTCCCCCTCCTCCTGCTCCACCACCTCCTCCAGGAGGACCTCCTCCCCCACCAGGAGCACCACCTTTCTTCAGCATGGGAATGCCACCCACTTCAACAACCACCTTCAGCAGCAGCGGCACCAGCCTGAAGAAGAAATCTATCCCTCAGCCTTCACACCCACTGAAATCCTTCAACTGGGCTAAGCTGAGTGAGGTAAGAAACTGCAGGACTGTTAGCAATTAATCTAGTTTCTAACTATCACTCGTTGTTGATTAATGTCATGAAGTGCAAGGTGACAGAAGCGAGTGATATTGTGGTTTTCCATGGGCTGAGGTCAGTAGGGGTCAGTAACTGGCTTGAGGAAGTCTCCCCAGTTCACCCGCAGTGCAGCATGTCTCCCGTGATGACCAAGGTGCTGGTTAGATTGAGCTGCAGTAGATGTGGGCATGCTATGGCAAAAGCTGTAGTGCGACTGAATACGTAAACCAGAGCTGGACATCCCCAGGACTGGTGTACCAGAGCTGCCCTCACCTGCACATCAGCAAAAAGGATGGCCAGAGCCAGTGTGAGTAAAATATGGTGCAAACCAGCTCCAAAACCAGCGTCCTCTACCCTGGCAGGAGCCACCACCAAGGAGAGAACAGTGGCCTGATTCTCCTCACCATTTGTAAATGGCCACAAGGAAAACTGCTTTTCTCCTTGCATGATTACAACTCTGTATCTTGGTGATAAAACTTCAAATTGGCAATAAAACCAGAGGACTTGGATTCTTCCTGTTGCACCCATTTTATGCTACCTTGGTTGTCTCTTCTTCTCCTTCACCTCTTTCTTTGCTTTCTCTCTATTTTTCACACCACCCCCCCACCTTTCTCGTTAGGTCTTTTTTTTTTTTTTTAAACTGATTTAGAAAGAAAAAAAGCGTCTGTGTTGGGTTTGGATGGCTGCCTAGAAACCCAGGTTCTCTTTTAGACTGAAACTCACCCAAGGCCCAACTCTGGCATTTGGAATGAGTGTCCAGGGACCTCTGGAATGCCACAAGAATTCTCTCTCCCCCTCTCTCCTTTTCTTTAAAATAAAGTGAAGTGAAATATTTGCTGCACCGTCTGTGCTTGTCTGTCAAGGCCACGTGGGGGGTGTGGGAGAGAATGTAAGGACAGGGATTTATTTTCCTTCACAGAACATGGAACTTAGTGCTCTGTAGAAGAAATAATAACTAATGTATGTATATATATGAATGTATATGAAAAAGAGAGATTCACAGGTGTTTCTGTTTAGTGTACAGTAACTGTAGGCTTATCCTGCCCTCTGGTTAGGAGCAAAGGCAGCTGTGCTAATAAAATTGAAGACCTGGGTGGTGAGGTGGGTTAAAGATACTATTTTGAGGAAGACAGAATAGTTGGAACAAGGGCCACGAGAGTGCAGGGGCTTCATTTTGGGGTGTTTTCCAGTGTTTGTGCAGAGGTTGTGGTGCAGACACAGGTGGTTTGCCTTCTTACTTGGGTTGTGATTTATTTATGGAATTATTTAAATTCACTGACTACTGGAGAAGGTGATACGTTTTGGCTATCTTCATCAGTTATCCTAGATTCTTTGTGTCAGTACCAGACTCTTTCTGGATATGAATCCTCTGAATGCAAAGTCATGGGTAGTTCAGGTGTCCTCCTCTTGCCTTTTGTTACAACTGTGGAACTTCTGTGGTGTCTTCCTGAACTGTCAAAGTAGCCACACTTGAATGAATGAAGACTCATAACAAGCACCCTTGCTGGGAGTAGTGGATCTTAAGTTTTTTAGCATGGGAAACTAAGGCCTGGAAGCGCACCTAGTATTATTGTGGTTCACACTAGTGTTTAACTTCCAGTTCACATAAATATGAGTTTTCCCCATAAAAAGATTTTGAGAACAAATACATCCGACACCGTGTATATTGTTTTCTTTATTAAAAGACTGGTCTAGTTAGGAAAGATCATAGACATGTCTGCACCATGTAACACAAGCTGTACACAAACTTAGGGCTGCAGCCACGTCAAATATGTTACTTAGTTCTTACGTCTCTCTGCATACTCTTTAGAACATCTTTCTCAAAGAGGTTATACAGGGTCTCTCCTAAAATTTCTTAAGTAAGTATGAAGATGATTGTAGAATCATAGAATGTGTTGAGCTGGAAAGGACCTTTAAAGGTCATATAGTCCAACCTGGGAATGAACCCCTTTCTGTCCATCCTGCCTGCCCCAAGGGAGTGAGAGAAAGCCAGCACAGGCCAAGAGGAGTGTGGAGAGGGTTGGTTCAGAGCTCTTTGTCTGCAATATGCTTTCTCAGTAATGGAATCAAGGCTCTTCTCCAGGGCAATTCATACGACATCTTTTTCCTAATGCTGATATTGTCTTTGGAAGGAAAGGACCGAGCTGTTAGGTGTTAGGAGAATGATCAAGTATATTCAAACTCTTAACATCTGACAATAACAGATTGTCCACAGTTCCCGTGGGCACCACAAAAGAAATGGTTTAACTGGAAAGTGTTTGTGCTTCTAACAAGGAAACTCCAACAACCTCTCTAATTTCCCTTGAGCATTAAAGCTTTTGTACTTGCTTTGATGTGAGCTGATGATCAGTGGCAAAGCCATTCAGATGCGTGGATGTGCTGAGTTCTGATGAAGCCCTTCCACACCACAGCTCCATTCATACAGCACATGTAGCATCATCTGTGAATTCCATTCATACAGCACTACAGTAGTTGTGGTGCCAAGGATCTCTGTGTGTTTTTTTTTAAAAAAAAGATATTGCAATGTAACCACTGCAATATCCTGGAAAGATTCCTTTCTTTGTTTCTGGACAGCAAATGGAGTTTGCTCTCTTACTCTGAATTTTACACAACACCCAAGGTCAAACAGGGACCAGACATTTATGGTTAGTCCAAATGATGGACTGCCTTCAAGCACACTGGAGGTATGGATTAATATAATTACCTCTTTAATAAATATAAATGTATAGTTTTGAAGTTATCGGAGTAAATGAAGTCAACCTTCAACTGTGCTGTTTGTTACTTCATGGCTGGAGAAGCAGCTTCCTATTAAGAGTAAGGCTAGTAACAATCTGAAAGAGGCTTTTCTTTAGCCAGCCCTAAATAGACCTGCGTGAAATTATCTCATAAAAAAGATATTTGTTCTGCACACCACATAGCATTAGTAAAAAACCAAACAAACACAAAACACCACCAAGCACCAGAAGAAAAAAATCACAAAAATAGAAAATGTTCATTTTGACACTATTTTAGACAAAAGAGTTTCTCTATGGTATTGATGATTCTAATTTCTGGAACTTTCTTCCTAAAAGCAGCCTGAGGATGATGGCAAACAATGATGCAGGACTGATGCCAGAGATTCAAAATTAGTGGAAAGATTTCTACAAAATCTCAGTGTGGAGCTACTCCTAATAGTCTTCATGGTGCCTAGTCCTACAGTGAGATAAAACAGCCGTCTCAATTAACAAACATGCCAGAAATACAATTTTTTCCTCAAAGTGGATTTTTCTTACACTGGGGAAAGTATCTGATATCAAGAAAGAAAACTGAGAAATACACTCTGTTCATATCCCTTTTTCAGATTCACAATGGAATTATGAGTTAAAATTTTAAGTTGCCTCACTTTTTGATTTACATATGTTTACCTACTAATAAGCAGGATTACCTGCTCCCGTATTCACAGGACAGTCATAGTTTCTATGGACCTTCATGGCAAATGAAAGGCTTTCCCAGAGTACTGTAATTTTTCACTCATGCTGTGAGGTTCCTGAGGCATGATGGACTTTGGTGGTTTGCAGAGCATCACTGTTTACCTTTTAGGGTAAATAAAATCTGTTAGATGTAGTAAAGGACAGCTTGATATGACTTATAGCTCCATGAAACACTGTCATTCTCTAATCATGGTAGGTCTCTCAGCAAATCAAGCTTCATTACAAAGGTGAAATGACATAACCACAGCAGCTACAGGGAGCAAATTGGTAAATGTAATGTATCAAAAACCCCAGCTTGATGGAGCATGTGCCTTGTCAATATTTGTTCTGAGAATAAGATGTTTCCTTACCTAGTATGTACTACTGGGAAGTGTAGTTCTTAGGACTTTCTTCTCGAAGGGAGCCTAGACTTTGCAAAGCAGAGGAACCACAGATCTTAGAAGGCTTGCAGAATGAATAAATGAATAAATGAATAAATGAATAAATGAATAAATGAATAAATGAATAAATAAATACGGGGAGAAAAGCATGCTACAGATGAAGTGATCTGCCTCTTTTTTAAAATATTTTCTTTTTTTTTCCTATTCTAGGAGAGAAGAAAGGCAAGAAAAAATAAAGAATTTACTTTATTTTTAAATTGTTATTTAGGAGCCATAAATATTTTTTATAGTGCCAAGGGAATCGTATATCATAGCAACCACATTATGCAAGTCTGTTTCTCTTAAAATGCTCAGTCTCTCTGGCTGATGACAAGGAACTATCAGCCAGTTAATTCATAACTGAGTAGCAAGAGCTCCGTGTAGGAAATTATCTGGCAGCAACATGAAAGCTTTAAAGGGCAGATCTTAGGGTAGAAATAGAAGGGACAGTCCCATTGCAAGTGTATTTTGTAACAGAAGTTGCTCATACTTCTCCCTGCCCATTTTTTCTTTGACTGGTTTAGCCTTTTTGGTTTTTAAGCACTAAAATCGGGTTGATTGCTTCATTTAGAGTTCTGTTTGTGCACACCATTGCAATGGGTCCTGCTTTGGAATTTGTCTTGCTGCTACAAGTAGCATATAAATCATCCTGTACAGTACCAGATTCAGCCTGGGTCTTAAAGTGAATATGCATTGAAAGGAGAATCATTTTCGCTTCTTTGGGTTGTTGTTCTGGGAAAGTATGGACCAGAACTACTCTTTGCAATCCTTTTGTGAGTCTCAGAACTGCCTGTTCTGACACCTCTGAAATTCATTTGGACAAGCCCATTCTGTCATTTGTGGGGAAACCACTCCCATGAGAGTTTTGTAGCCAGAGAGGGAGATGGGCAATACTCTCATGAGTAGCTGTCTCGAGTCACATCCAGCCTTCTGCCAAACACAGCATATAGCTTTTTGGCATCCTCTATTCCAGTGTTGACTCTGAGGATTGCTCCTGGAGTCATGTCCTCCTGTCAAGAAATATTCTTCTATTTCAGTATTTGATGGGACAACCTGAAACAGGGAGGAACTTAAAGAATTGCTTTGCTTTTCAAATACATCTCTCGTGATATATAATTCAACATTTATAAAGCCAACCTGGAAACTGAACGAGAATGAACGCTTTGCCTGGATGCTTCTGGATAAGATTGGCAGTAGAGTCCAGGGTTAGGATAAAATGAAAAGTGACTTTGTTTTCTATTCCTTTGGCTGAGATGAGCCTCCCAAACTCGCCTGTCATGTTACAGTCACAGGAGTCTTGATTTTCCTACCATGGAAAGAAGAGCTACGCTGATTGCAAGGCATGATAGAGTGATACTGGTGAGCCTGTGCAGGGATGGGTGCTGCTGCCACCTTGTAGATGCTCTCACTGTAAATGGTGCTGCAGACACCCCTCCTTGCCCTCGGGCACTCACAGGCTGCCTCTGGAGGGAGGGTGTTGGTTTTAGTCCACAGTGTCTGCACTGCCAGGAATTTCCTCCAGAACACTTCACATTTTTATTTCCCCCTCATTTCATCCTCCCATCAGAATTTTCCCTTGCTCCTTAAGCCTTGTGGCTTAGCACATTTCCCTCATTCCTTTGATGACTGTGAATGGGAAGTAGAGCCTGTTCCTAATTAGTTCTGATAATGAAGTGTTAACACACTTTGCTGTGTAGGTGCAAGTCAGGTACTTCAGAGCTGGAGCCTGTGTTAGGGTTTCATTGCTCTTGCTTGTTGTTCCTGGCTTCCTCTGCATCAGCGTTCTGCTGGCTTTTCATCCTCTGGGGATTTGCTGAGGTCTTTCTGTAATCCCTTCTGTCCATTTTCTTTTTCTTTTTTATCAACACCTTCCTTATTTTTCCAGGTTAATAAAGTACAGTAAATGTACACTTCAGTAACTAAATGAACAGAAAGACACTGTTGTCAGGTATGAAGAGCAAGTTTTCCTTTTCTGAATGGGTAATTGCCCAACACTTGTCCCACACAACTCTGTCCTAGTTTAAAATGACTGTTGATATGCTAATTCATGTGCTACAAGAGCTTATTTGGTCCAGGGCTGGTGGACAGCAAAGTTGGACGAGGAGTCTGTGCCCATCTCTGTCCATGCTAATCATCTGCTAGACAGCTAGGATTCCCTGGCATTCAGAATAATGTATCACATGGGTTGTGAGCCTTCCAGTTAGTGTGGATGATGCTCTTTCAGAGATCTCAGTACAGTTTGTATCAACAAAAAATGCATGTAGACAGGGAACATCATGTAATAGAAAACAGTTAGACTTCAAAGGCTCAAAGCCTTAAAAGTAAAATAAAACAAAGTAAAAACTCAAACTATTTTCACAGGCAGGCAGAATGGAAACCACACACCCTTTGGGCTTTATGACAGAACCTGGCAAAATTTGTAGGAGGGAAGATGTGTCTGGGGTTTGTCATGCATCAGTGCCCTTCCTAAGCTTTTTCCTCATGTTGGTAACACTTCTTTCAGCTTGACCTCAACCATTACTTTAGACAGATGGACACTCTTGAAAGGAAACGTACTGTGGAATCATGGATATTGCTTGAGTTGTGGTCTGCTAGTGCTGGAATGTGCCCTTTCATCAGAGGCTTGCTGTGATGAAAAATACAAAATACTCAGTATGTTTAAAAAAAATCCCCTAACTAAAAACCACATGACTGTTGTTTTTTCTTCTTTGGCTCTTGAAACAAAATGTGCCCTGTAAAATGACAGCAGTAGTACATAGATATATGGCCAGTGAGCAGGAGAGAATGATCTGTCCAAATGGAATTGTATGTTCTTAGCTAAAAACTTCCTCTATCTCATTAAAATATAACCTTTTCTTTTAGGAGAGGATCCATGGCACAATCTGGAATGAGATTGATGATTTAAAGGCATTCAAAGTGCTGGATCTGGAAGACTTTGAAAAGATGTTCTCCGCATATCAGAGGCACCAGGTAGGGGTGAGCTCTTTCACATCTTGTCTTCCTTGGGTTTCTGGAGGAGGAAAGAACACATGACCGTGATCTGGGCCCTTGTCCACCTGCAGTCAGGCTGCATCATTTGCTGCTCTGCTACTGTTCAAAAAATCACAAGACCAAAAGATGTGGGCAGGTCAAACAGGATAGAGTATAACCTTCTGTTATTACTGTTCTTCATACTAATAGGTAGCTCTCAGAGACAACAGCTCCCAGTAGGTAATGCTGTATTTGATCTCAGCAGCCACTGGCTTCCAGAAGGTCCTGCTCTTTACCAATTCATGCTTCATAATCCATTTTCCTATTTTTCTCATTCACCCAGAGAGAGAGTCTGTAGTTGCATGAGTACTGGCCAAGGTGACTGAATTAGCTGTCTTTTGCTTCATCTATTTTTGCTTAAACAGCCAACTGACCCAACTGGCTAGGTGACAGAAACTGTCTGAATTACAGATTACAACACAAACAGCTTATTTTGAAAGCAGCCATTTATTAGAATGTCTTTTTCCTCTCCTCTTTTTCTTAGAAAGCAAGTCATCTTCAATGTATCTGCCTCCACTGAATGAGATTTAGCAGGAGAGGGATTGTACTTGCACTCCCTGAACTCCCTCAGCTTTCCTTCACTTTTAGAGTATGTTTGGAGAAATTTGAACTTTTGTACTCTGCAGAATTGGGTCATTTCTCTGAGGTTTTAGGAAAAGTCTTACGATTGCCATAAGAAGCCCTTATGTTTAAGCTTTACAGTGATTATAACTACTTCATTGTCTTATTCAGTACTTTAAAATTAACAAGGAACCCCTTGTCTTTGGACTTTCCATTCGTTCCCTTCTCTCTCAGTTTTCTATCTAATCCAATAAACATAACGAATGACTCTTCTGATTTACTAGCTCACAGCCACATAGATAAGCATGATGAGATTTCATTTCTCATTCTGCTCCTGCAAATAGCTGTTGCTGGTTCAGTGGGTTCTTCTCTCTTTCTATGAATCTAATTCCCTGAAACAAGAACTTAGTTCAAAGAGGGGAGAAAGGGCGCAAGAAACTTCAGTGCTGTTACAAGATTGGATTTAGACCCCATGCCAACAGCTTAGCTCTGGTGGTGAGCTCTCAGTTGTCTTGCAAGTAGCCAGACTGTCATCAGTGCACCTGAGTATCCACTGCAGCATCAAGGTGCCATTCACTCTTCCGGGTATAAACATGGCAAATTTTCTCAGTAGAAATGACTTTGCAAGGCCTTGCTTCCCTTGCACCCCAAAATCCAAAGTCAAAGTTGTCCTGGTGTGCCGTGTCTCACTTAGAATCATGATATTTGTGGCTGTGGGCTGTGTTACCAGTCACTGAAAAGTAGCCTGGTCTGTTCAACCGTAAACTAAGCTGCTTGTTAGCCCTGCCCACTGGAATGGAGCCATCGTATCAAAGTGGCCTCCCATTTTATGACATTGGCTGCAAACACTAGAGCATCACTTATGTAAGCTACTTATATTTTTTCTGCAGTTAGGTGTATTGCTGCCCTTCAAGCTTCCATTGAGGATTTTTGTTTGGTTGGTTTTTTCCCCTGGAATATTCCATCACTATTACTTTACATGGTACTTTCTTTCTTATCCATACTCACTCCAGTGTGAACTGGATTCCAATCATCAATTTTATTTTTCTTTTTTTTTTTTTTAAAAAGACTTGGCAACCAAATTTACTTTTGAATCAAAATCTTACAAGAACTTTTACAGGAGTCTTTTATCCTCTTTTTTATTTTGAAATACTCCATTCTGTCCATGGATGTGTTTACCCTGGGTTTGTGAGTTTTACACTTAATACAAATGGCTGTGAAGAAAAACGTTGACACAAAGCCCTGCTCTTTTGTGTCTGAAATGTTGAATGAATAAAGATAAAGACATTTCTTCATCTGCTGTTATTAACATTATCATATTTTTTCCAGTCTCATTTACATTAAAAAGCTTTTCTTTCTTGTTATTTTTTTAATGGGAAAGGATCTCTTCTCCTCTCTCAAACCCAGTATATTGTTTTCCATAATTATGAGGAAAAGCAGAATTGTCCAATATACAAAATACCGGACTAAGAATTTTCACATTTTTCTTTTGACCTTGTTGCAATCTTACTGTGTAATATTGACCAGTATATCTAGTGCTTTCCTGGAGTATGGAATATGTTGTGAAAGAGTTGGTGTCTGTCACCCAGTAGTACAGTAAGAGTTCTTTGGTTATTAGAGTGCTTTCAAAATACTTGGCTATAAGTTGTTAAAGGGTATAACGTGCCATTGAAACAAGTTGTTGCTAAAAATGGCAAACTGTGCCTGTGCATCAGGAGAGGAGAACGGACCCTCAGCTATTAACCTCGGCAGTGCTTTCAATAAGGCTCCAGACTAGATTTTTAAAGGTATTTAAGCATTATCCTAGTTAATATTTCAAGATCTAAGAGATCTATTCTTTGGAGACTGAATTTATTCCTTTCAGAAAAAAAAGGTAGAACTCTTACTTCTCCAACATCTGCTGATTTAAAATATGCAAAGAAATGCTGAAATACCTTTGAACCATCTGGGCCCCTATTACTTGCTAAGCATTTTATTCTCTTAGAAAACAGTGTATGTCTAAATTCAGCTGCCTTGTTAAACTTGATATCTTTCTCTGTGACTAATTTTTGGCATGTTTTCTTCTTCGTTATTTGCGGCTGCTGCCTGTATAGGACCTGCTAACTAACCCCTCCTCCTGTAAGCAGGTGAGTATCATTGTCTGCCTTTTGCAGTGTATGGGAAGGTGAAGTCGTGCACTGTCCAGTTATGGAGTCATGACTCATCCCATGCTCCTCTTTCATGTGCCCTTGCAGCTCTGCTTTGCGGGTGGGGGTAGGTGGTACAAAAAATTCCCTTAGTTAGCGCTGTGATAGGAAGTAGTTCCTGTTCTTTCACTTAGCTATAACCTCACTGTGGTTTCTGCTGGTGTCTGTAGTCTCCTTTTTGATGATCCTAAGGAAAAAAACAGGGACAAAGTAGAATGTGAACCTCTTCCTTAACCAAAGTAATACTCTCTGTAGTGGGGAACAAAAGGGGCTTTCAGGGAGCCTTCACTCGCACTGTTCCCATCTATGGTCCATCTGCTTTGGACAGTACTGAAGTCTCCAGATGTATTCACTAGCCACAGACTTTGTGATAAAAAAACATCTTTCTTTCTGTAGAACCAGAAGGCACTTTGGTTGTGCAGAAGGATTTGTGCCAACTGAGGAACAGGATTAGTCTGGAGAAAGTCTACTTCATTTTGGACTGCTGAAACTTTCAGAAAGTTCAGCAAAAGACTGAAATGGGGTTTAGGTGAAGTAGAGATATCAGACTGCCCACATGTCTTCAAACTGTCTACCTCAGTTTATTTATCACCTTAAGCAAAATTCTTGGCAACCTTTTTGGGAAGAGCAATGCTCTCAGAAAAGGGTTGTTTAGATGCCATCACAAGTGTCTCTTGTGGCTTCAGAAGAAAGTAATTGTCACCATGTGTGCTCAGTAAATTGTATTTGGAAAGTCTAGTCAGGACCTCTGCCACTGCGGGAGCCAGATACATGGCTCTGGGCCATTTATTTTCTTTTATCATGGCAGCACACATGATGAAACAAGTCAATATGGTAGAAATAGTTCCCTAAAGTATTAATAATTACTAGAACCTGGGGTGCTACCGTTGTACCAGACCACAGGTTCTGCAGCTCACCAAAATCAAACTGTATTTGAAACTGAGCAGCAATACAATGAACATATTCTACATGTCTTGTCATTCTAGCACTGACATTTTAGTTGATTTTTGAATTTGCAATTAAAATCTGCAATCTAGAAGACTCTTCGAAGAGAATTCTAGAAGACTCTTCGAAGCTCATAGCATAACATTATGCCAGATGGAAAGCTAGTAAAGAATGATGAGATAAAAGTTAGGGATCTTGATTGTCACATTGTCAACAGCATCAAATATTCTTCCTGTGTGCTTGGCCTGCCTCACAAAAGTTAGTCAGTACTGCCCCCTTGCTCCTCTTTTTCTCTGTCTAAGAATATGCAGATAGTCCCTATGCAATCTGTTTTCCTTCAGCTAAACTTGCAATCTGGCTTCAGTAAAACCTGAGGCTTCATCTGCTTTTGCTTACACACAACTCCAAGTATCTATAAATATCTCTCTCCTCGATATGAGTTGAAGAGGATGTATTTTTTGATATTAGCCCACACCTTATGACCGAGAAGTGGGCCATGTCTGAATGGTTCAACTTAACCATCTGTGTTGAACCTTGTGGGCTGGGGAATTGGAAATGGCATGGAGACTATTACACCAGTGTCTGATGCATGGCTTTAGGGGAAAGCATCTAAACCCGGGCTCCACATACACAGCCAAGCCTTGAAACAATTTGATTCTTTTCCCCTGGGATGGGTGCTGGTTAACACTAACCAGGTGTCCTCATCTTCAGACATTATCTAGTGAGCTACAGTGCAGCTTTTAAATCAAGAGCACAGACCAACAAGTACCTTTCTTAGCTTCAACAGCTGCCTATCTCCCTGTTCCCCTATCTTCTTCCCCACAGACTGAGGATACTCCCTACATGCCAGATTATACTGGAGATGCCTCGCTTTTTGGTAGTGTTAGCTATTCTCTCAGAAATAAGAAACTTGCCCAATTCTTTCTTTTTTTTTTTTAAGAAACACTGTTTGATGTATTTCTAAAACTAACTTTGCAATTTCTTTTCTGTCAAGGTAGACACTTTTGGCACATCCAGCAGAACTATTGTGTTCATGTTTTCAACTAGTACATTGTACCTGCTTATAAATGTCACCTAGTATTGGTGATGGCTCACTGCAGCATATTTTCAATATAACTCTCAAATACTTGAATGCCAAAATGTCTCAGACTTGATTAGTCATGCTGATACAAATAAGCCTTGAGCTGCAGAACCTTGAGTCCTGGGAAGGAATTCTGAGAAGCACCACTGTGTGCTCTTACACCTTTCTGCTGATCACTCTCGGAGACTGAATACTGGGGTAGATGGACCTTTTGATCTGACTCAGCATGCTTGCTGTTATGTCCTAAGAAAGAAATTAGGTTGCTCCTTTAGTGGGTACATTCAAAGCTAGATTGTACCATTAAATCTCAAAATCTCAAGGCATGACAATATGGATATTATGGAAAGGCATTTTTGAAGAAATCTCAGCGGCAGTTAGCTGGGAAAATAAAAACCCTCCTGTTCCCAGTTCCCTCTCTTCTGTTGGTAACTACAGAGCTCTTAACACTTTTTATCATTACCTCTACTTCCCTTTAAGGAATGCTGTTAAAAGATACTCAAAGTAGCTACAGAAAACCAGTCTCTAGAAGTGAAACAAATCTTGTGACTCTGGTGTCTAGGCAGGACAAGGAGACAGAGACTTCTGAATGGTCAAACTGGGTTTGCAAATAGTTTCTCTATATATACTGTGACAAACATTTTGGCTGGGGATTTTCCAGGTTTTTTCCAGGTGATGTGTTTGGCAATGGGGGTCCTCTCCTGTGAGGACAGGCTGAGAGATTTGGAGCTGTTCATCCTGGAAAAGGCTCTGGAGAGACCTTGTAGTGGCCTTAAAGGGAGCCTACAGGAAAGATAGGGGGGGATTATTTATCAGGAAGTATAGTGATAGTTTGAGGGGTAATCATTTCAAACTGAAAGAGAGTAGATTTAGATTAGATATTAGGAAGAAATTGTTTTCTGTGGGAGTGCTGAGACACTGGAACAGGTTGCCCAGGTAAGTTGTGGATGTCACCTCCTTCGAAGTGTTCAGGGCCGGGCTGGATGGGGCTTTGAGGAGCCTGGTCTAGTGGAAGGTGTCTCTGCTCATGACAGGGTGGTTGGAGCAAGATGATCTTTAAGGTGGTTTTCAACCCAAACCATTCTGTAATTCTATGAGGATATACAGAGAACTTTGAAAAAGAGTGGTATAATTAAAGGTATTAATTAATTTTAAAAAGAGAGACTAGTTCAAATGTAGATGTCGACCATTTAGTAAGATACTTAGTAAGAGAAATGCTGTCCTGCCCTACTGTTTGCATCTCTCATAAAATGGGTTGTACTGGTTCAGTGGCAGCCTTAAGAAATGACGGAAGGATTTTTCTTGATTGTGCTGCAGCCTTTCAAGAATGCTGTGTAACCCCTGCAGGAGGCATCTGCTGAAGGATATACTGTGACACCAAGTGCACTTTACCATCTTTTACCACTTTTCCTGTCATACCGGTTTTGCACATTAACATAATTACTGTTGATAGAGTGAATCCAATAGGTCAGAATCAGGTCTGGTATTTGGAATCAAAGATAATCTCATGGATGGTAATGAATGACTTTTGTTTGTCTAATAATATAGGATCTATCTACATGTTTTCTGCGCTGGTCTTCTTTTCTCACCATGTGGGTGGATATTCCCAGGTTGGGATAGGTATTGTTCACTACACTTAGCTAAGTCTACCAGTCTTGAGTGAGAAACATAATACTGATTGTTTTCCCTCCCTTTTGAATTATATGCAGAAAGAGATGGGTTCAACAGAAGACCTTTACCTCTCCACACGAAAGGTGAAAGAACTCTCTGTGATTGATGGCCGGAGGGCCCAGAATTGTGTTATTCTCCTTTCCAAGTAAGTGTGCTAAGCCTTAGCTCACAAGGTATGCCATGGTCAATGCAGAGGTGAGAGAGGATGGTGAGAGGGAATGGACATGCTTCTTTTCCCAACACGACCTCCTGTCTAATACTTGCAGAACTTCAGAGAAACCTCTCTTGCAGTATCATAAATGCACATGCCTCTCTGAAGTGTTACCTCACTTAATAAACATGCACACACATTTTGTGAATTAAACAGATAGACACCAGGAGGTAACTGAAGACTTATCACAGAAACTGTAAATACTCACAGCTAGAAGAAAGCAGCTCTTTGGAAGTGCTTGTATTTTACTTAAGTGATGTGTCCCTCATGGTCTGTGTATGTCATTTGTCTCTCTTCTGTATGTTTCTTTCTGAATGTTGCTCTGAGCACCTTCCTGGAATACAGCAGAACTAAGAGTGATCTTCATCTTTGTCATTTTTAACTCTTGGTGAGGAGAGTGATAAATGTAAGAAACATATTCAAGAATTAGGTCTTGTATTTGTAAATTAGGTTTTGGAAGCAAGGAATTGTCTTTGCATGCTCCCACAATGAGTAATGCCTTCAAATGCTGTGACCTTAGGGCTGTCCATGTGCTTTACATATCTTTCTACCAACATGAGTACTGGTATGTCTGTCACTAATTAGCAAATTTGTGCAGACACTGATCCACCTGAAAAAGTTGCCTTTCCTACCTGAGGAGAAGCAGCAGGTCTGCAGACAGAACCTGTGAAATCTAGTGCAGTACTGAGCAATAAAACTAGTTCATTGATCCTTAGAAAATGTAGGTTCATATGGAAGTGATTGCCTGTCTGCTCTAGCAAGCTAACAGTTAAAAGTAAAGTAGCAGCCAGACCACCAGGACTGGAGTGAGTTCTTTCCATTGCTTAGTGAAACCCACGGACGCTCTCATTATGCTACTTATGTGGCATTAGCCTGCATGTCAGCAGGACCCCCACCATCCAAAACAGCGATGAGGGAAGGCTTACATTTCTCTCTCTGCAGCAGTTGCCAACTCCTGTCTTTGCTGGTGTTGGCAGCTGACTGCAGGCTAGGGCAGAGGAATGGGGAGGCAAAGAGGCGACAGGATTTTCATGCCATTTGACAGACCAGCTGAGTTGTGTCTGGGGTTCAGATTAACCCATGTAAGCAGGAACATTTCCTAGAAGTGGTAACACAACGTGCAGGTGGCTGGGCAGCATCCAGGAAGGTGGTCCATGACTTGGTATGACACTAGATACTTACTTTTTAAAAAAAGTCTTTCTCCAAATCAAAGGCAATGTGGACAGCAGTAGTACATGTTTTTCACTGTTCACCTCTTCTGCTATGCTAGTCTGGCCCATTCTTACTTTAAAGGAATCCTCTCTACACACTAAGAGAGAAAGGACAGTCTGTGTGGTTTGTCTTCCCTTCCCTGCTTCCAGAAAAGTGGCATTGGAGCATGAACCTTCCACTTCAGGGTATGCAGTGTGTGATCGTTCCAGGTGTGCCATGAATCCAGTCCACCTCAAGCTGCACTCTTGGACTCAAACCAGAGGTGAAAAGTTTCTTTCTGTGATTGCCAACTTCTCCACTTGGAAATATACTGTTGTTCTTGTTAGCAGGCCTAACATGAATGATGGAGATTTGGAGACTGAGGTTGCTGTCCTTAGGGAGCCTGCCAGTTTGTTCTATGCCCTGTTAACTTCACTGTGCTGCTCTGTGGGAAACATCAGTCACCAGGGTTATCACTGGCTTAGATCATTCAATGTTTGTAACTGGCAGTGTACACCTACGATATCAGAAATATCTTACAGCTTGGCCCAGAATTGCTATTCCTCCCGAAACTTCCCTTTTAAATACAACTAGAAAAGGAAAAAAGTCTTTGAGAACTAAAATAGCACCTCTACATTCATGCCTTTTTCCACTCTTTGTGCTTATATGGTTCTATTATTGAAGACAGCAATTGGGAGGATTGGCTGCAGACAGTAACTGAAAAGGTTTTATGGCCCCTTTGCAGGTTTTTCCATTACCCACTTTATTCTCCTCTAGGTTAAACCATGAAGGAGAGACATTCCCAGCTCATCCCTGGCTGCTGACATGCCCTTGGTGCTCCTGCAGCACACCTTGCACATGCGTGCTTGTGGGTGTGCACACCCATGCAGTGAAAAGGGGTTTAAAACTGGTGACAAACAAAGAGAGTTTGTGCAACCCTGAGCTGCAGCCCCAGCTTTCAGGTTGCCACAGTATCTGCCAACAGCTGTTTCCAATTGACTCTTACTGTGCATATATCCCTGTAGTTTATTCCCCCTTTGTTTACACTAAACTGTCGTGTCCTTTAAAGTAAAATAGCTGCATGGGTTGGGTTTTCTTTCCCTCCACTACTCAAATGTTTTTGTTTTACTAACACTGTGTTAGAAGGGGTCAGGCAGAGCTCATATTTCAAATGGCCCAACAAGCCAAAACCTAGCTGGAGTGAGGAATAGGTGTCTCTTGCTTTCTTTCACAGAGACACTGGAGCATGGTAGCCTGATGAAAATTGAATTGCTAGTTGATTTCCGCTGACAGTTAACAGATTTGTAAGCCTTCCTCCCCATTCTCATCAATATTGTCATAAAAAAGCTCTGTTTCAACTACTTGATAGGAATATCTTTCTGTTTTCCTGCAGTAGAAGAATGTAATTATCTTTGTTTAATGGCATCTGATGGATCCAAAACAAAGCTTTGTCCCATAGACCAACTGTACAGGTTTTAATAAGCACAAGATAAGTTTATTTCACAGTATTTCCAATTGGCCATAATTCAACCAGAACATAGAACCATCTGTCTGTGGTGAGTCCAGGTGTCCACCAGCTTCAAATCTGGCTATCTTAATGGTGTTTCCAACATACAGTTATTTCTGACACACTGGAAATCTGCTATCCCTCATGAATTTCCTACTGTCCTGATTTACTGTCGGACTTGTGTGGTCTCGAAGAGTCATCCCAGATCCCTTTGTTTCCCTGCTTTTACCTAGCAGCTGGAAATTTCTCTGACTCCCTTCACCAGTATGGTTTCTCCCTGCCTCCTTTACTGGAGTAACGGGTAGTCTTCTCACTGCTCTAGTGTTCTTGTTGTACCATATCTTTAAATGTTATTGCAGAATGTTAAATGGTCCTTGCAGAAAATGCCTAAGACACATACTGCTTTAGTGTATTGCTCTGTGACATGCTCTGGAGAAGTCCAGTTCTATGAGACACGTTGCTCAGAATAAGGTTGAACATAGACTTCTGGAACTTTTTTGTGCAAGTTGTTTTGCATGAATTTCAGCAAATCCATCGTGTCTGTGTTCTTCTGAGATGGGTTTGTTATTCCTGTGGCCCAGCTAGTCAACAGTAACCCCCTCAAGAGGCTGCAGACAGTAGGAGTGCTAGCAAAATGTTATAAAACCAGTAGCAGCAGAAGGCAAATCTGACTACACAAAAAATAGTTTTAAGTGTGAGTATGATGGTAGATAGATACTGACAAGCAGCTTTACCAAATCTTTGTGACTTTCATGATTATCGATTCAAACATCTATCAGTAAGGGAGAACAAAAGGGACCTGTGCAGCATTTCCAACCAGCATACTAGAAAGACTAAGTATTTCTCTCACATAAGTGTGCTTCCTGAGTGCCTCTAAATCCTTTGAGTTCAAACACTAAGAGAATAAGCTATCAGCCAATGTCAGTTTCCATGTACTGCCTGTGCCCTGCCCCTAGTACCTGTGTGCCTTTCTGCTGTATTCACCCTTATTTCAAGGTAGATTCCAAGCAGTATGGTGTTTTTGGGCACAGTTCATATCCTGATACGGGAACAGCTCATTGGACTCACTGGCTCATTTTCCTTAGTGTGCTGTGCTGAAAAGCACTAGGCAATAAACAGCGCCTCCTGAGTTCCTGGAGAGATTTTCTGTTAATGTACACAATGGCTTTACCTGCTATTCCAAGTATGATAAACCCCAAGGTTAAACTGAACATGTCAGTTGGTGCCGTCCTGTCTTGGACCACAACTAAGAACCTGTAGGTAGGATTGTGATAGAAGATGAACCACTGCCTCATCAATATGTCACTGTAATTTGGGAATTCCCAAGTTTGGCCTTGCTTTGTTCGACTTGGCTTAGAAAGACGGACATCCTCTGATCTTTCTTGGTAGGACATTGAGAGTATTTGGATGCAGAGTAGCTTGATCACTCATGAGCTTTTGCTGAAGGAATGAAAGAAAAGAAAAGACTCTTTCTTTATGTGTTTGGCAGAATACTTTCACAGTGAAGTGCTGAAAAGGCACTGGTGTATTTTTCCCAACATATTGATATAATGGTGTAAGATGTACTTCGCAAAATGTCTCAACTGTTGTCCCCACAAGGGTAGGGCACTATCTTCTTCACTGACAAGATGAGTTGGCAAGTGAGATAAGAGGTTGTGGAAAGAATGGCTGCGTCTTTCTGTCTTCTGAGTCAATGTGCACTTAGATACGCCTGACTCCTGATTGCTGCTTCTGGGAGCAAGGAGGTGTCTCCCTGCTTTTATGGGGTAGTGACAATAAGTATTCCCAAAACGTAGATATTTAACAGCCTGCAGCTTGGCAGATGAGAAGGCTTATGTCGCTGTCAGAGTTTGGAAGTGAATTGACTAGTTGTGAAATGAGTTGTGGAGATTGAGAATTCTGCAGACAGTAGAAGCTAAGAATCTTTAGGATGAAGCTAAGGATCAGTTATTGCCTCTCACTGTTACAGCTACCACTGTTGGCATCTTTTGGAAGCAATGTGGTTCAATTCAGTTTGAAGTAGAAAATGGCCTTGACACATGATAATCAGTCCCCTCCTCCAAAGTAAAAGGAAGAGTAGAATTGTGATCCTTGTTAAATCCTCATACAGGGAGTTTAATGCAGTGAAACTCCAGATTCTCTGGTAGTAGGCAACCATGCTTCCTTCTCAAAAGCTAAGCAAGATCCAAGGAATAAGTCCGTGAAGTAACTCACTTTTTCCTCTGAGGGGGAGAGATGGTTAATGAGTGACAAGTATTCTGCTTCCATCCATGGGAGGGAGGAATGAAGGGGGGAGGTTACTGTGAATTAAATCAATGGGTATATTTAAGGAGGAAAAATGAGAGAGTACTGGATGTCTGTAAGGGAAGTTGATGTGAAACTGCAACATGTCTCCCAGGCTTGTTCAGAGTCAGGCTGTCGGCTTTCTCCAAGAGGATGGAACAATAAACCTCTTGATGTCTGCAAGTGAAGCTGGTGTTAAATCAGTCGAGGTGTCCTGGGGAGATTAGTGATGAATTACTCTGCAGAGTCAATAGAGATTATTTATGAAGCCAGAGGGGATAGAGGGAGGCAGGCTAAGTACCATATCAGAGGTTATTTGGTACTTGTTGAGCTTTAACATTGCTTGAAGATGACTCAAGCAGTTGGAGTTCCATATGCTGCCACCAGATGTATAGGTGAGGGAAGAAGGAGGGAGTATTCTCGGTAAAGCTTATTTTCCTTCCTCATCTGACCAGCGTCAGGCTGCTATTGAACAAAACCAGTCAATACCAGTGCTATGAATGAATGTACTGCAGCTGAGGAAAGGGGCACCGTGTTTTAGTCTGGACACATCCATTTCCCGAGTTCTGGTGCCAGGAACCCTGATTTTGGGAAGTGTGTGGCAGAGAGAATACAGGTTGAATCATATGCTGTTCTGAATTGAGTTGTCTCCAGCAGCTGCAGAAAAGTGCCTGGATGTGCACAGCTTGTAAGAAAGTCATGGCAGACTTTCCAACAGATACTGAAATATAATGTCTGTAGTGTAAATTTTTGAGCCATAATTCCACTTTAATTTGCTGTGTGTCCCATCTGAGTTTCAAGCTCTGAGGGATACCTCTATTTAGTTCTAAATGGAAAGATTTTATGCGTCTGCTTTAGGTTCCTCTTTAATCAGTTCACCTGTTTCTGTTTAAAAGCAGCACATCTGTTTCACATTACTGGTGGCCATCTTTAAGATCTACTGCATGGCTGGGTATGAGTTTTGAAAATACAAGAAGAATCATTTGATTAACAATTCTTTGGCCAGTTATTCAGCCAGTTTTTAAGTGGGAAGATGTCTGGTTTGGGCTGTTGGTGCTTACAGCTCTTGAACTACATCCTAGCTCAGAAGAGGAACAAGCCCACTTTGGAAGAGAAAGATTGTTTTGCTGTAAATCCTTCTGTACTTGTAATTGGATTGGTAATAATCTAGGATGTGCACCTGCAGGCACCGTGACCCTGTTACAGGCCTGTAAGTGACTAAATTAAACTGCTTCTCAGCAGGGGGCTGGCAAGCTTTCTCCTTCTCTCTACTGTGGGATAAACTGTTCAAGCCAGATGTTTTTCTGCTGATGGTAGGGCACAGAATCATCCAAGAAATCAAAGCGTTTGCATAACTGTCTGTCCTTGGGGCTCTCAATTATTTTTGAACAGAAGACATTTGCAGATGTGTTTAATGCTGATGAATGGCAGCAAACAGAAAAGCTTGGAGTCTGAAGTCCTCAGGCTCATGGACAGAACAGCAAGATCAAGCAATATATGCTACACCTTCAGTTGTAATGGCATTCCTCAAACCTGTCTGTTCGGTCCTATTTACTGCATCCCCAAACACACACAGAGGTACTTGCACTGTGTAATGGAGTGGTCAGTGTAGTAATTGCTTGAGTTATTTGCATGGAAAAAACATGAAACTCACTCTTATTCTTTTTATTCTCAGTGAAAATAGCAACAAAAAAATATACCACCCTGGTATTCATAGGTTGGCTTATTGCATCCCCTCTAACAGACTGTGTGGCCTGTGTTACAGCTAATTTGTGTGTTTTCTAAAGGAAAAGTAACCAACAAAATACCGCGCTTTAAAAACTGTAGGCACCAAATTGTCTGGGCATGTGTACATGTGTTTGCTAGGAGCCAGGCCCACACTCACCAATATGCGCCGAAGCCTTCATCTGGTCACAGGGCTTGATCATTCAGGGTCACACAACCATGGACTTCACAATTCATGATTGTTAAAGCCGAAAGAAACCCTTCAGTTTTCTGACTGAGACTGTAGAGCTTTATGCAGAACCCCATGTACTGAGGTTTGTTGTTTTAATCCCAAGTCAAACTGATAACCTAGAGTAAAAAGTTTCCAGCCTTTTCATTGTAAAACTTCTAATCTCTATATCTCATCCAAGCGTGGCCAAAATCCTTAACTTTTCTGGAAGTTCGGTAGTTTTATCTCACTTAGCTGCAATCAGTTTGCCTTCCTCGTCAAAAGTAGACATGATGACCAGCTAGGAACAGAGAGCAATTAGTTCGGAAGTGTAATATTTAAAAGCTTTTGAATGTCTGCTGATTCATATTTTAGTTTCCAGCTGTTGGTTATATTGGGCAATATTAAAATGCTTTAAGTTCTTAGATTTAGTAATATTTCCTGTCTGTAAAAGTAAAACTCTTTCTTTTGGTTTTACCTAGTTCCAAAAATATGATTCTATCCAAATCGTAACAGCAATTTGAAATTTCAACATGGAATTTCTCAGCACGAAAGACAAAAACATTCTGCTTCATGCATCAGCCTGTCTCCCATTTATATTTGTGTTTTCTCTTGTTGCTATTAATTAATTATATTGATTGCAGAAGATCCACACAGACTGCAGACTTCACTCCTCAAATATTTCTTTTCATATTTTCCTGGTTTGGCCCCAACATTGAGATTTTCTTGTGTACAGCCTCTCCTTTATGGTTCATTTGGTCCTTCCCTACTTTTCTGAAATGACTGATGAGGGGATCATGGTCTGAGGATGTTGGAGTAGAATTTGTCACTTTTGTGTTTCTTTGTTGGCATCTCCACTGAGAGCCACCAAGTTCCTTTCATGTAACCTGTTGATCAACCCCTCAATAACCACAGATTTTGACTCCTCCTGGTCTGCTCTGGATTTCAAGTGGGTGCTTTAAAAGGTTTTTTTGTTGATTCTCTGCTTTGTTGTAACCGATGACCCCTACTCATTGCACACAGCTGGACAGCAGTAGGTAGGAAGGAGAGTGTAATTTTAATACCTCAGGCAACATTAATAAGCTCTTGTGTTTAGAGCTTCTTTCATATTGGATAGGATACATGGATACGTAGATGTTGTCAGTTCCTTCTACAGCTGTGACTGGCAACAGAGTGAATTTACCTAGCGCAACCAGTCTGCCTATGAGAAGCCCAGTACTCAGATCTGTAAGAGAAAGATCAGTCCTATTACTTGTTACTCTGGGAGATGCTTTAATATTCACAAGCTGGAGTGCTATGTGGGCTCAGAGTCATTTAAAAGTCACATGGATTTGGGGGCTTACTATAGCAGAAGAATTTGGTGAGAGAGGTGTCTGATATGGAGGAAATTGGAATCACTTTTCATCTATAACAACCTGATTGTTTTTAATTACCATCTAATTTTTTGTTAGCTGAAGAGGATGAAAATATATGATCTCTAAAACCCCTGCCTTTGGACCTGATTGTTCAACTTACTGAATACCCTAGCAGCTTTATAGTAGAGCTTCCCATGGATCTTTTATGCCTTTTTAGTGCAGCTTTTCAGGCTTCCTACTTTCGGAATTGTCACTTAAGCTTTGTAGTAATGGTACAATATTGATACTGTTGAAAGGCTGAAGCTGTCTAATGAAGAAATCAGACAAGCAATCTTGAAGATGGATGAACAAGAAGACCTAGCAAAAGATATGCTTGAACAGGTGAGAAACTTTACAGTCAGATATATCTTATTCTTAAGACCTTCACTGGCTTTTTTTCACCTAAAGTAAGTGGATGTGTGTACTGGCTGTGCTGCTTTGTCTGCAGATCTGAACATGGCTCTATTACGTCAGTAGAGCTGCACATGGCAGCATGGGAAACGTATTTTCCCCCATTGTTTTAACATATACCGTTCTTGTGTAACTCTGTATCAAGTTGATTTCATAACAGTTTTCTCTTCTTGATGTAAAATACACACGATTACCATTGGTGTGAGTTTTCCTTTCATGTCCTCTCTTCCCACCTGTAACTTACCCATAATTTTTCCCATATCTTTTTTATACTGCTGATTATTTTTTGTCGTTATTCTCCTTCTTAGCTTCTTTAATTTTCCTTTTCTTAATCTCCCTTCTCTGCCTGCAGCTTTTCCATTGGGAAATGCTGTCAACCAGTCCGTGTAGGTCAATGGTTAGAGCTAAGACTAGAAGGGATATTGCATTCTAACTAGAATGGAAGGAGTCGGGGACTTCTCTCCCCGGCAGCTGGTTCACTGTGTAGTTCATGAGGGGGGAAAAAACCACAATTAAACCACCATTTCCCAATTTCCCCCACTTATAGAGAGTGAAAGATCATTCTTTGTCCCAAGATGCTTATGATAATGTTCCTTAGGAGTGTGCAAAATGTTCTAATTCTGAACTGTTTGACAAATGCAATTGCTTTTTTTGTACAGTTACAGTATTTAATCATGTACGAAAAGCTTTTCCATTTTGGAAATTTATAGCCTTCTTGTCATGTTATGTGAATGCTCACGGCTGCTCTAGAAGCCACTGCAAGCTCCTTACGATCTAGACCTTTAAATATCATGTTTTTGGGGAGCAGGATAGAATATTAAGAAGTAGTAAAAAGCAGAGTGCTTGATATATCATGGTTTTGTGGGTATGCGCAGAGGCTGTGTGCATGGCAATATTTATAACCATACTAAGGCACAACTGCCACCAGATATGTCAAAAATCTGTCAAAGTATGGGCTTTTAAGGTCAGCATGTGAATAGCAGCCAGTGTCAGACACTTATCCAGTCACTTGCTTATTGTTTATTGTCTCAGTAGAGTAGGGGAGACCCAAGAGAGAGATAGATGAGGCTTTGTGTGTTCTTTGGGATAGGCACGATGGGTACTTCACACTGAGTGGGACACATCCTGCTCTTGTTTGCACCAGTGTAAACTCCGATTAATACTGTGGGAATCAAAGTCCTCTCTGTACTTCCACTTGGGTAAGCTGCAGTAGCACTTGGCCTTTAGGATTTAGAAATAGGAAATTCCCCATAGAAATAAAAATTAATCTCATGGGGTCAGTGAGGGATAAAGACAGAACAGCAAGCAAAGATTTCAAAAAGGTCAGTTTTGTAGCCACAGCTGTGCTTTCTTGAAGTTACAGTCACATGGCTCAGTCAATGTAATTCTTCCCCATGGCAGCAGAGAAATCTGAGGGTCCTCTCTCTCTCCATCAGAGTTTGTTTGTGTTTCTCTCTCCCTCTCTCCTTTTCCCTCGATCTCTCATCTTGGTGTTTGGTTTGTGTCTGTCACTCTAGCTGCTGAAGTTTGTTCCTGAAAAGAGTGATACCGACCTGTTGGAGGAGCATAAACACGAAATTGAGCGCATGGCCCGGGCGGATCGTTTCCTCTTTGAAATGAGCAGGTCTGTTTGCTACATTATGGGAAAGTGCATGGAGAGCTTCTTGCAAGCAGCTGTAATTCTGATTGAAAATGGATCATCTGGCACTGAGAGGGAATGTGCTAGAGATTGTGGGCCAACATTATACCCTTCATTTGCCAGAAGCCCACAAATGTTACAAATGTTTCCGTTCATTACACAAACTTTTTATTGATGATAAGCACTCTCTGTGCTGTCATTTAAGGACCAGTTCCCTGACGACAAACAGAAATCTGCCTCCTCTGCCTAAACTTGTTCACACAAAAAGGAATTCATGTCCAGCTATTAGATGCAGTGTAGCCAGGGGTCAGGATTTCATATAGATCCCTTTTTCTATTCAGCTCTCCCATCTCCTCATCCTCTGACCTTCTTTCTTGTTCCAACTTTGCTACACCCACCATCAGGATCAACATCTTGTGCTGCTAATTGCGATGCAGCTGGCATCTCCCGTAACTCATATTCTGAGTGTAAAGGCAATTTTTCCAGCTCCTTTTCACTTGTGAACAAAACATGCCTTGTGGTCCTCCATTTTGATAACAAGTTTACTTACGCAGTATTAAATGTTTGAACTCTGTCTGTAGTCCCATGCACAGGCCTTGTGGAACTCAACACCCAACCATTAGATTACATAGGCAGCGTACTGGCCCTGGGCTTCAAAATACGGTGCCAGTTCAGTGTTGGCTTTCCTCTACCCTTCATGCAGGATTGACCACTATCAGCAGAGACTGCAAGCATTATTCTTTAAGAAGAAATTTCCGGAGAGGCTGGCAGAAGCAAAACCAAAAGTGGAAGGTATGGTTAAATCTTTTGCTAAGAGTCTGACAGAGGGGCAGGGAACATCAAGAGAGGCTTGTCTTCAAAGGTAGTGCTGTTACATGAGTGCTATGATTGTAGAGCCAGTAAGTCCAAAGCATATTGTGTGCTAAGAAACTCATTCCGTTCAACACTCTTCTTACACCCATTGACTTAATAAGTTGGTTTTGTGACTGCTCCACTATAAATATGACCTGACAGATGTGACAGTGTGCTGCCAGGCTGAGCTGAGCTGCCAAAAGTTTTCATGGCTTTTCTGTGAAGGACAACCTTCCCTTCTCATCCTCAAGTCCTCTCACCTTTCCCTTTCCATGGGGCAGTTAGAATAGATGCCTCAGGATGGTGGTATTCTGAGAATGTGTAACTGGCAAGAAGGGGGATGTATGGCTTCTGTGCCACATCCATGGTTATCACAGAGAGGAGGTGAGTGTATTCTCCTCTGCACTTTTTCATATGAGCTCAAGCCTTCCTCCCCTGTTCTCACTGGCTATGTTTTTAGAGTGTGAGGTCAGGAGAACAGTTTTGCTCCTTTATTCAGAGAGGCATCCTTACAGGCTAGATGTAGTGCATCTTCCTTTCAGTTCTCCTGGTTCTGGGCATATGGGTGCACAAACAGACCATGTTGTAGTGTTTGCTGGGCAATAGTCAGATGGGCATTTTAGGGTACTTCAAATTATGGGCCCAAGCATGTTACAAAGAGCCACTGTGCAATAACCATTAATTTCTTTTCTCTTTTCAAGCCATTCTTCTGGCGTCCAAAGAACTCATCCGAAGCAAGCGTCTGAGGCAACTCCTGGAGGTAGTTCTGGCCTTTGGGAATTATATGAACAAGGGCCAAAGGGGAAGTGCTTATGGCTTCAAAGTCTCCAGCCTGAACAAAATTGCAGATACCAAATCCAGCATAGACAGGTAGGCCAGAAGGCCATAAACGATTTAGATACTGTGCTGCTGCATCTCTTATCTTAGTAATTAAAGTATTTTTTGTTTGGTTTTAGCTCTGTAGACTATTTAAAATCTTTTCTTATTTGGCCTCTTAAGTAGTGCTTTTCATTGGAAAAGATCCTGCAGCAGTTAAGATCAGCACTCAACACGGCACTCAAATTCTGCTGTTTCTTTGGATAATACACGTCTGTTGTTGAATTGTGTTTATGCAACACTATGCAAAGATGACAAAATGTAGTATTTCACAAATAACAAGTTTTGGGGGAGGAGGATTTCTATGGAATTTGCCCTTTAAACCAAAGTTTTTTGGCCCTGGTTTTGCAAAAAAAAAGAAAACACAAAAAACTCTGACCCCAGTTTTATGTCTCCTGTGAAACATGGCATATGTTTCTGATGCAAGACTGTCAAAAACTGACTGTCTACCTAATGGAACCAAAAGGCATAGCTCAGAGAGACTGAGCCTGGTTGTATCTAGAGCAGTTAAGAAACACAGCTGGGTTGGGAAGATGGGGTTTATTATTTATGGACATGGACTGCAGGTCTTTACCCTATGTTTTGCTCCACATACCCCTACTGGTTCTGGAAGGTAGTCCAGCTGTGACTGGGGAGAGAATATCCCTTTTGAGCCATGCACCACTAAGGTTTTCCTTGGAGATCTCCTATACTGCTCTTCGCTAACTTGCACCTTCCTTGACTTGTGCGATTTGCTGGGATCATAGTTGTGGTGAAATGACTTCAGGCTGTGACAGAATGAATAATGGCAGTAAGAAGCCATAGGAAATTCATCCATACTTAATAGAATTTGAACTAACAGAGTTCTGTTTTGACTGCCACGATGTCCTTTCCATATTCCAAGGCTAACACTTGCATAGCTAGTGTTGAATATTTTTTTGCCTTGATGTAGTTTGGCTTGGTTTTCCATGTATTAAATGTCCTGTGCAGATTCTGTTCTCTCACCCATTCCCAGATTCCAGACTCTAGTCTGTGTGAAGCAGTGGCCATCTGATGTCTTCCCTGTCAGTTAACCACGTAACACCTACTTCAAGTAACTGTTACGGCTGGCTGTTTTCTCTACACACAGAATTCACTGATGCAAAATTCATCATTTACTTTACAAATTTTATTAAACTTTCTCCTGCATCTCTCATACATCTCATTTCCACCTACTTCTACTTGAGCTGCCTTTGCTTTTGTAACAGTGAGTGAGCCTGACCATACTTGTAAGTGTAGCTGTTTCATTACTGTGAGAGTTTTCTCTGCAGCTTCTTCAATCTTTGAGAACTTTTCCTCTTATTAATTATCTCTTAGGATTTTTCCACATTGCCTCTGAGAACAATTCACTTCTCCCTTATGAATTAAAGTCACTTTAGTACTATTAGTTGTTTATTCTTTGAAGTATCTGGGGACAAATATTATACTCTGTTACACAATTTTCTTTTCCATTAAACCATCTACACAGATGGATACAAGCATGATGATGCTTCCAGAATAAATCAAGGCACAATGTATTGCTTGAGGTTTTAGGAAGGATGGTTCATAAAGGCCTAATTCATTTCAGTCTGTGATTCTATTCTCTCGGTAACAGAGCTTCTAACTGCTGATTCAGTTTGGTTTGTTCATTCAAGCACGTTTCCTATCCAAATATTTTTCACTGATTTGTCACAATCCTCCCACCATCCTTTTTCTTCTCAACATCTTCCTTCTCGTGTCTCCTTTCTCTGTTTTTCAGGAACATTACACTGTTGCACTACTTAATTATGATCTTTGAAAAGAATTATCCAGATATCCTAGATATTCAGTCTGAGTTGCAGCATCTTCCAGAAGCAGCAAAAGTCAAGTAAGTTGCTTTTTTGCAAAGTTGGAGTTCCTAGAGATTTTTGTTAACTTAATGATCATCTTTTTTTTTTTTCATTTCTGTCTAATAAACTTCTGGCTAGCCTTACAGCTGAAATGCCTTTGCTGACATCCTTGCTGTTATTCACATGTACGTCAACAGAAAATTTTGGTCCAAAAACATGTGTAGGTAACTAAATTGACAGCTTTGTGCAGATATGCCTATATCTGCTTTATTTCTAAATCAGATATTGCAACTAGACTTTGTAATTCACTCACCATGTTCTATGTTTGTTCATCTAAGTCAAGTGCTGTTTTTGCTGGATAATTAAAGGTTTGTTTCTAAGACAGAATCCATTAGGCACAGAGGCTATAGTAAGCCTTTTTCAGGAAGACCATTTGCACCAATCAGCCTTGCACAGAAATGTGGAAAGCGTCACAGGTGTTTGTGGAAAAATGAATACATAAGCCATCCCCCAAAATCCTAGCATTTTTTTCTTTTCAAAGCACTGCTAAAAAACACCTTTGTATATTATTCGCCCAGACATGATTCTTTTTGT